AATTTTGAATGCATTTTGGAACCACATTGAATAGAAAGTAGGACAACACTGCAACAAGCACACCGATATTGCAACAGCTAGCACGCCCATGCTTCATGGACCATGCACTAGTGTACATATTAGTGAGCATGATTCTACTTACTTTCATGAGAAACAAACCTATCATAGCTTTTAAGATTTTGAAACCCTATTTAAAGAACCTTAAGGAGTATAAATGGTGACATCTTGATTTTGACCCGTCATTGACAACTTTAGGACCTTTAGAAACGCGTCTTGGGATCAAGATTTCTCTTCATCTCTTCTCTATTTGAAGACTTCTTTAATTTGTGTTTATTCCTCCTAGAGAAACACTAGTCTTCAAGTCTCTGCTCCGAAGTGATAACGTTCCTCTAACTGTCACTGACGTGGGGAGAGTACCTGCAAAAGGCACTCTGATGCTGAAGTCAGGATCCGATGTTGAGGAATAAATGTTATTTTATAATGAAAAGTCAACCTTTTACCTGTACTTTTACCTTCCTTATATAGGCACTATAATGGGCTAATGGGCCTGCTAAGCCAGTCTTGATTTTTAGCCTTTTATTTAAAGTAAATAATATGTTGATTATTACCCTTAATTGGGTTAATTACCTTTTAATCCTGACTAAGGGTATCCGGCCAAACTAGGCCGAATAGGTACTCGGTTTCCTTTCCCTACAAGTAGGACCGAGTTGTTCCCTATCCAGTACACTAGCCCCCCAAGCCCGAAGAGGTACGAAGTGAGGGCTTAAATAGTTGTTAGGCTCAGGTAGACAAGGAGTAGTCGGCTAAAATGAAGATCCATATCCATTAGTGCATTTAAACGATTGATGTGTACCTTGTACACCAAAGGGTATTCGGTTTAGTAACAGAATGATATAGGCCAAGAGAGTGGATAAGAAATTATAATATGAGAAAAAATAAATAATTGTGAAAGAAATATTCTAGAACGTTGGCCTTCCGGTTTTGCTCAGTGTGTCTGTATGAAACGAAAGGGTACCCAACTCCGTCCGTTGATTTGTAAAGGATCTGACGGTTCAAAAGGGGGGCAACCTTTCGTTTGCCCGAAACCAAATCTCCTATAAGTATGTGGTGGTCCTGCGTCCATTTTCTACTGTACCGAAACGTGCATACTGTTGTTCCAAACTGAAGGGTGCTCATTTTTCAGAGATCTTTGCTTTTCCTTCCCTACCGACTACTTGCAAGGTGCGTTTTAATTTCTCATTTCTCTTTCCTTCATGGCCGATTCTATTGAGTGGGAGGATTCTTTGTCCAATGTCTCGGGACCGTCGACTGTCGAAGTAGACATTATAAATGAAACCGAGGGGAGTGGCGAGGTTTTATCAATACCAAGCAAGAGGACTGAAGCACAAGTCAAAGGATGCAGCACCGATGTTGAGTCATCAGCTTCAAATGATACTGACGCTTTTGAACCCCTACCGAGTACCAGCCCCCTAGGGAAAGACAGGTGTTCCCCCCTGTACCATACCCGAATATGAGTGGTGCACGGTGAAATGGCCACGTACTTTTCTCATTTTAGAAGAAATAAAAGTCTTCAGTTTTTTGTAGATCATTGTGATATTTCCTTGTGGGAAGCCTCTGATCCGTATCCAATATACCACAACCCTTGTAAAGGGGATGAAACCGAGAACTATGAGTTTGTTTTCTTGGGGGGCATTGGGATGACCAACACCTATTTTTATGTATGAATATATGTTTAGAGAGTTAGGTATTAGGCTACCCTTTGATGACTTCCAAATGGGAGTTTTGAGGGTTTTAAATGCAGCACCGACACAACTTCATTCGAATGGGTGGGCGGTAATACAGGCCTTTAGAATACTTTGTAAATTTCATTATATAGAACCTAGTGTAGGGCTATTTCTTCATTTCTTCTGTACCCGCCCATCAGACTTAGCAAGGTGGGTATCTTTAATAAGGCAACCTGAGTTGCCTTTGTTGAAACCTTATGCTTCATCTTTCAAGGGCTTCAAAACCAGCTACTTCAAGGTAACCGTGGACCCTGTAGGTAGAAATTATTTTTTTGATAGCGAGAATAATCCCATTTTCTCTTTTCATTAGACTCGGGCCTCGCTGATATGACATATTCCCCGAAGACATGTTATTGGCTAGGGAGTTATTGGATTTAGAATATTTGAAGTCCCTTCTCTGAGAACTACCTGCCCGACACATACTCCTCGTGCTTAAGTCTCCGCGTCCTCGTTGGGAGATAGAGGGTATGTATCATCTTTTTTAACTTATTTTTTGAATCAAGTTGTATTGATTTGACTTATTGTTTTTAATGTAGGCTTAATGGCTCAACGAGGTGTTGATGTGTTGACTTTCCGTCGTACTCTGAAGTAGAGGATGCCGGAAAGTACGTCAATTGAGGAGCACCGACACCCTCAAATTGATCATCTGCTTGAAATATCCGACCCTCGCCCTTCTCCACAGGATCTAGTCCCGACAGAAAATCAGCCCAAGAGGCGCAAAGACAAGGGCAAAGGCAAGGAGGCTGAGAAGGAGAGAAAGAGAAAGCATGCCCACTCGGGTGGGCCAAATGGTACAGAAAGGGTGCACAAGCAAACCCAAACTGCCGCTGTAGAAGGGGCCAGCAGTTCCTCCAACCCGGTGATTCCTTTGGCAATGCTTACCGTGACCTTCTTGGCAACTGGGACACATGTCGGCCGGCTAACTGCTCCGAATCTACTGTCTGATTCGGGGAAAGAATTGGTCAAGAGTTTAGAACTGGAATCTCTCTGGCGCTGGTACGCAAAACTACAAGTACGATCGACAACTATGCTCCGAAGGCTGGTTGTAGATCCCATTCTTGAGGTGAAAAATATGCAGAAAGCTTATTTGGCTTCTCAAGAAGCCTTAGCAGAAAGCAAAAAGACTTAATCCAGTCTTGGCGAGACCATTCAATCCCTAGAGGCTGAGGTCAATCAGTATAAGGAGCACTATCGTATAGTGAAAGATCGAGTCCAAGCAGCTGAAGAGGCTCTGAGGGCCAAGGAGGAGGAAATGGAGGCGTTAAGGGTGAAGTCTGCTCAGATGGAGGAGGCCTTAAGGGCCAAGTCGACCGAGATAGAAGAAGCCTTGGCACTTGAAAGGCAGAGGGCTAAAACCGACTTGAAGGCTTTTGCTGAGAAGTGTTCAGAGCAAGTTGCTTTGGAACATGAGTCTGATTTTAACCATGCTGTTTGTCAATGTCATGGATTCTGTTACGTCCCGGCCGACTTCCATTTTGACATTACTAAAGACTTCTTTGGCGGCCAGTTCATACCTTCTAATGAAGTAAATGATGATGTGGAACCGGACGCCGAAGCCCCTAGCCGAGCTACTGCTAATGAAAACGCTCTTACTCCCGAGGGCCCTGGACCGGATGGTGGGGAAGGGCAAACATAGAACTATTTTTCATCATTTTCTATGTACTTTCGAGCCAATAGTGCCCCAATTTTGTAATTCTATTGGATTTTTGAAATACAATCTCTTTTCTGCTATTCTTATACCTTGCGTACTAGATTTCTTGAATTTTGAAATACAATTTTGTAAGTCTACTGAATACCCTTACAAACGTTATGTTTATGATTAGTTATTTCAACCTTGGCCAAGTGGAGATACTTGGACGGGATTTTTAATAGCGATTCATCCTTGGCCGAGTAGGGGTACTTGGGAGGGAATTAGTTAATTCAACCTTAGCCAAGTAGAGATACTTGGGAGGGAATTTTAATAGCGATTCGTCCTTGGCCGAGTAGGGGTACTCGGGAGGGAATTAATTAATTCAACCTTAGCCAAGTAGAGATACTTGGGAGGAAATTTTAATAGCGATTCGTCCTTGGCCGAGTAGGGGTACTTGGGAGGGAATTATTAATTCAATTTTAGCCAAGTAGAGATACTTGGGAGGGAATTTTAATAGCGATTCGTCCTTGACCGAGTAGGGGTACTCGGGAGGGAATTAGTTAATTCAACCTTAGCCAAGTAGAGATACTTGGGAGGGAATTTTAATTTAAATGAAGTGCTTGAAAGAAATTATCATTTTGATGAATGATAAACAAACAGCTTAGAAGAAGAACTTTATTGATAGGGTGCCTCGTTAAAAACCTTCCCAGGAAAATTCCTTTTCACTTTCTTTTAAGAGGACAAAATCTGGGCGAGGAAAAGAGTGCACCAAATATAAGTTACAAGAGTTAAACTAAAATAATGCTTTAAATGAGTGGCGTTCCAAGTTCTGGGTATCATATTCCCCTCTAGTGTTTCCAACTTGTACGCTCCGTTATCCAATCGTGCCGCTACCCGATAGGGTCCTTCCCAATTTGCTACTAGCTTCCTTTCCCGTCGATCCCGACAGGCTTCGCCGGTTACTCGCCATACTAAGTTATCTTTATAAAATTGTCTTGGAGTAACTTTGGAATTGAATCTCCTCGCCATCATCCTTTTACTTGCTTCGGTTACTATTGCTGATTGGCCGCGTACTTCATCTAAGAGATCTAGGTTTATGGCTAGGGACTCGTCATTCGACCGGGACCATAGCGTCAGTACCATATGTAAGCTGGAAAGGAGTCTCTCTAGTGGTTGTTTGTGGTGTACATCGATAAACTCATAATATCTCGGGCAGTTTCTCTGCCCATTCTCCCTTTGCCGAACCTAATCTTCTTTTTTAATTTATGTAAGATCACTTTGTTTGCAGTCTCAACCTGGCCATTAGTCTAAGGGTGTTCAACAGACGTAACCCTGTGCTTGATGTGAAGACCTTCCAAAAACTCATTGAATCGTCGATCTGTAAATTGCAGCCCGTTATCTGTAATTAATGCATGAGGGAGGCCAAAACGTGTGATGATGTTTTTCCAAGTGAATTTCTGTACGTTGTTAGCCGTGATGGTGGCAAGGGGCTCGGCTTCAATCCATTTGGTAAAGTAATGCACAGCGACAAGTAGAAATTTACATTGCCCTTTTGCTAAAGGGAAAGGGCCGAGGAGGTCCATACCTCAAATAGCAAAGGGCCAAGGAGAGCTAATAAGACGGAGGGTATAGGCATGTTGGTGTAGGTGAGGATCATGTTGTTGACAGGGAATGCATTTCTTTACAAACACATGGCAATCTTGAGCGAGTGTTGGGCAATAGTACCCAGCTCTGAGTATTTTTGCTACCATGGTTCGTCTGCCCGAATGGGTCCCACAGATACCTTCGTGAATCTCCCTCATGACATAGCTAGCTTGATCATCGTCAAGACATTTAAGCATGGGTGTTAAGATCCCTCTCCTGTACAAGTCTTTACCGAGGAGGAGGTATTTAGCTGTGTGTATCATTATTTTCTTTTCCGAAACTGGATTCTTTGGTAAGGTGCTGTTGGTAAGGTATTGGATGATGGAGGTCATCCAATTTTGAGGCATATTTTCTATGTCCATGCACTCTTGTTTGGTGATGCTAGGTTGGAGGATTTCCTGATGGATTACGCTTTGCAATTGCCCAAGTTTCCTTTGGCTAGCCAGTCTAGCAAGCCTATCGGCTCGTTCATTCATGTTTCTTGGTGTGTGCCGAACACATATCTCATCAAATTCATCTGTCATTCTTTTGAATTCTTGATAATATTGGAGCATAACCGAGTCCTTAACTTGATATGTATCATTAACTTGTTCGGCCACTATTTTTGAATCACTCCAGCCAGTAATACGTTTAACTCCCATCTCCTTTGCTAATCTGAGACCAGCAAGTAAAGCCTTGTATTCGGCTTGATTGTTGGATGCCTTAAACCCAAACCGAATGAATTGTTCAATGGTGACTGTGTTTGGCCCTTCAAGTATAACTCCTGCTCCACTACTTAGTCGGTTTGACGATCCATCAATATGCAGATTCCACATATCCGACATGGGTTGTTTTTGTGCTGTGAATTCGTTAACGAAGTCCGCTAGCACCTGAGCTTTAAGAGGGTGTCGATTTTCAAAATGGATGTCAAATTGAGAGAGCTCAATTGTCCATGCTACCAACCGACCGGCCAACTTTGGTTTTCTCAAAATTTTAACCATTGGACAATCTGTGCGCACAACCATCTTGTGGCTTTGGAAATAATGTCTTAACTGACGAGCTGTATGTAGTAAGGCCAGTACTACTTTTTCCATCAACTGGTATCGAGATTCAGGACCTTGAAGTGTTCGGCTGATGAAATATACATGAGTCGGTTCAAATATTTCTTGTAGTAAGACCGAACTGATGGCATTATCTGATACGGCCAAATAAACAATCATCTCTTGTTCAAGCTTCAATTTTGTCAGCACAGGTGGTGCTGCTAACATACTCTTGTACTGAACAAAGGCAACCTCACATTCGTTGGACCATACAAATTTTTGAGATTTTTTGAGCAACTCGATGAAAGGCCGAGACCTTTCTGCCATGATTGGCAAAAATCGAGCGAGGGCTGCAATCCGACCGGCAAGTCTCTGAACCTCTTTGATATTCCGAGGACAGGCCATTTCGATGATGGCTTGACATTTGTTAGGATTTGGCTGGATTCCCTTTTCAAATAACATAAACCCTAGAAACTTGCCTTCGGCTACACCGAATGTACACTTCTCGGGGTTAAACCGCATACCATGCTTCCTGGCCTCCCCGAATACCTCCTCCAAATGGGCAAGGTGTTGCTCCAATGCCGTGGACTTAACCACCATGTTGTCCAAATATACCTCCAAGCATTTACCTACTTACTTCTCAAAAATTTTATTCATAAGTCGCTGGTATGTCACCCCTGCATTCTTTAAGCTGAACGGCATTACTCGATAGCAAAAATTTGCTGAGTTTGTGATGAATGCAGTCTTCTCTTCATCTGAGGGATACATTCGGATCTGATTGTAGCCAGTATAGGCATCCAAAAAGCTGAGTACCTTGTGGCCTGCTGCGCTGTCCACTAAGGTGTCAATGTTTGGCAATGGATATGCGTCCTTTGGGCATGCTTTATTGAGGTCAGTAAAATCTGTGCACATTCGCCATTTCCAATTTAATTTTTTAACCATAACGACATTGGCTGGCCATGTAGAGTATCTGACCTCCTAGATGAAGCCGACTTACAACAATTTATTAGTTTCCTCCTTTACTGCCTTTGCTCTGTTTCCACCAATCTTCCTTTTCTTTTGTGCTATCGGTTTGGCTCCCTTATAAACTGATAAGTGATGACAGATAAATGCAGGGTCTATGCCGGGCATATCTGAAGCAGACCAAGCGAACAAATCAGCATTATGTTACAGTACTTCCTAAAAGGCTTGCCTCTCTTGCATAGACAAAATGACTCCCAGATAAGCAACCTGTTCGGGTTTTAGTCCAAGTTGGAAAGGCTGCTTATTTTCATTGGGCTCAACCGATATCCTTCATCAACTCTAGGATCAAGTTCAAAATCCAACTCCTCTTCCAATCGAGGGGATATAATGTTGACATCTCGGCTGCTCCCATGGAAAGGCTTAAGACGTAAACTTGTAAAGTAGCATTCTCTAGCCGTTTTCTGATCAGCATGAACTATAACGATTCGGCCCCTCTCAGACAGAAACTTTATGGCCAAGTGCGGAGTAGATACTATGGCCTTCAATTTGTTTAGGGATGGTCTGCCGAGTAGTATATTATAGGAAGTGGTCGCATGTACTACAAGATAAGTGATTTTTATACGTTTTCCCTCATGCTCTGACCCAAATGAGGTATACAGGTCAAAACAACCCCGAGTCTCCACTCGTTCCCCAGAGAAACCCACCAGCGGTTCATGATACTCTCTGAACTCTTCTTCTGGGATGTGATGGGTAAAAATTACTGGGAAAGTGTACCCGTTGTCGAAGTAATATTATTAAAATTAAAATTAAAGTACCAAGTGTCGTATCCACAGGACTGTTATTAAGAAACTTTTCCTTAATTGCGTAATTATTAATAAATATGAAAAATAAACCTTGTTGATCAAATTGCTAAAAGTAAAAGAATAATAAATTAAAAGGAACAGATATTCAAGTGAAAATAAATTATAGAAAATTATGACTAAAGGTATTCAATGTAAAAAGGCAAGTATCTAGACTGTAAATCCCCCTAAGTGTCTAAATAACTGAAATTCTTCTTCAACTACTTAGTTCCAAACCCTTATCGCTGCAGGAAATTCTAATTTAAATCAATATCTTTCTCAAGGGTAATGATTCCTAACCCTCAGTTGATTAATCGGAATCTCTTTCTTAATTAATACCCCTAGGTTGCATTAAGTTCATTATGAATTTCATAATTAGGGTTAATCCTAATACAGAAAACTCACGTCTTTCTATCTCTAGAAATACATTCAAGTCTTTTTAATTGAGCAATGTTAATTTCATGCAGGAATTTTACTCAAATTCAAACAAGAAAACAAGATAGAGAAAATTGATACTACTCAATTAAACCCAAGAGAAAAGAACATGAAATAGCATTAGAAGAATTCCAGAAAATTTAGTCAATTAGGATTCATTACGTCTAGATACTCAAAGGAAAATTAGAACCTAAACATCTTCAAATTAAAATTACAAAAGAGATGAAATAAAATGCTTAATCCTATCCTCCTGTCGTCTCTGAGTCTTTCGTCTCCAAAAACTTCTTCCTTAGGTTTGAGTTCAGTTCTCCTTTTATAGAAATTATCCTAGGGTTAATTTTCTCGCAAAAGTTAAATTTCTGACGCGCGTAAAAGTACACGGCCATGTATTTGGCCGTGTACATCTCTGTTTTCTAATAAACACCTTTCAAAGCTTTCCATAAAAGCACACGCTCATGTACACGGCCATGTATCTGGCCGTGTACATCTCTGGTCTTGATGATATACTTCAATTGACGCGACCAGTGAGATACACGCTCATATACACGGGCATGTACTTGCCCGTGTATATCTCTGGTTTCTTTTTCTTCAATTCTCGACATCTTTAAGGCTTTCACTTCTTGATCCTTTTTCCTGAAATATGAATAAAATGAAATTAATAATAGTAAATTTTCTCAATGAATAGCTTAAAACTCTCAATTATCATTCATAAATTACAATGTAGGATCAAGTATAGAAAGCATTTATCAAATTCCCCCGAACTTGAACGATTGCTTGTCCCCAAGCAAAGAAATGGATCAATTTTACCCTTGACAACAAAGAATCAAATTCCTGAATTTTTTATTTTATTATTATTGTTATTTTTATTTTATTTTATTTTTAGAGGGAAAGTAATTCTTAAATATCAAATTGTGCTTTCTTTTGCTCTCGACCATTGTAACTTCAGTCAGAATTGAAATAAGGACCTCTCTACCATTAGCTCTTAAAATTTTAATTCAAAACTTTGAATTCTTTCACAAGGTGTTATTTAATTTTCTTTACTTTGAGCCATGATCGACTAATAGGGTGCATTTTATGCTCCATCCCTATTAGCACAAGGTATTAATGGAAAATTTCACCCTTTGCTTTCCACATCGGTACCTCAAATAATTTCGGGGTTCTAGGATGTGGTATCCAGACATTGCCTGCAATCCACATTCAACTAGTTATGCTTCTATGGCATGCTCTTTTATTTCTGAGCAGAGCCCCAATTTTTCAGATATTAACGATTCTTAAAAAAAAAAAAAATTTATAGATTCAAGGGCATAGATTCAAGGTCCTCAAATCAGAAAAATCTACCGATACTTCAATCGAGAAACAATCAAAAACACAAATCCAATATCTAGAATAACTGCATATGAATCTTTATTATTATTATTATTATTTTATTTTCAGGAATATCATCTCTAATGCAACAGTAAAATTGACTCAATATTGCTCAAGAATAAAACAACAATTCAGTTCAAACATCTATAATTATCCACCCCACATTGTAAGATTTGCATTGTCCTCAATCAAATATAAGAATTAAAGTGCAACTGAAACTTCCCTGAAAAGTAAATAAGTAAGCAAAGAGTCGTGGGAAGCAAAGCTAATCTGGGATTCAATTGGAGAGGAAACTTGATAAAGAAAAAAAATTTATATGGAGATTTAACTCAGTTCATAATGACAAGAGGAGTAAAATGATCAAAATAATGCGATAAAGAAACATAAGTAATAAACAGACAAAAGCAATTTAAATCCTAAAAAATAACATAAGTAAAAAATTCAACTAAGACTCCTAATTGCAGACTAAAGTGTTGCACTAGCATCATCTGAGTCTTCATCATCTATACTAAGAAAGTGGTCATAAGGAGATAGGGTTCATGCTGGGGCGAGGACACTTATTCAAAATATAAATAAATGAGCAAATAAATAACTAAATTAAAATAAACTAAACCTACCTAACCTAAACTATTCAATGTAATTCAACATTCAACATTCAACATGGAGGAGTTTAAACTCCTCATTTGCAAAAGTTTGCAGTTGACCCCCTGGTATAGTTTGAGCCTATGTTCATTCACGTTAAAATTTCCTTTTTCTGGATGAGTTAATTCAATTATACCGCAAGGAAATACCTTATGCACAGTAAACGGTCCAGACCAATGGGATTTGAGTTTACCTGGGAATAATTTGAGGCGAGAGTTGTACAACAGTACTAAATCACCTTTTTGAAATAGTTTACCTCCCTTGAATTTTTTATGATGGTAGACCTTCAATTTTTCATCTGGTGGTTCATTAATGGATGGGTTGGGTTGCTTCTCTGATTTCCACTCCAAAACTTTGAAGTCTCTTTTTCTCCATAATGGCTTAGTGGCTTCTAAATGACACCACTGTTCTTGAGTTACCAAGCTCATATCATATTTTCCTCTATCATGAACTAAGCTTCTTTCCAATGGGTTTGAAATCAAGAATTCCTGTGCACAATCAGAAACATAATCATTAATTACATTAATAAAGTAGCAAGAATCATCTTGTTTCAAAGACTTTTTTATTACATTAGGAATTTTGAAAGTGACTTTTTCATCTCCAACCCTCAAAATTAACTTTCCATCCCTCACATCAATTATAGCCCCTGCAGTAGCTAAAAATGGACGACCTAAGATCAAGGGGACATCAGTGTCCTCGTCCATATCAAGAATCACAAAATCAACAGGAAAAATAAATTTGTCCACTTTTACAAGCACATCCTCAATGATACCCCTAGGATATTTAATTGACCTATCAGCTAATTGAATACTCATCCTAGTTGGCCTAGGTTCCCCTAAACCTAATTTCTTAAAAATAGAATATGGCATCAAATTAATGCTAGTACCTAAATCAGCTAAAGCCCTATCAACTATCAATCTACCAATGAGACAAGGAAGAGTAAAACTCCCTGGATCCTTCAATTTTTCGGGCATCTTGTTTTGCAGAATTGCTGAGCATTCTTCATTCAGAGTTACTGTGGCCAACTCCTCCAATTTCTTCTTGTTGGACAGTAGATCCTTCAGAAATTTGGCGTACTTGGGCATCTGTGCCAAGGCATCAACAAACGGTAAATTAATATGAAGTTGACAAAATAAGGACAGAAATTTACCAAATTGTTCATCATCCTTGTCTTTCTTCAATCTTGCTGGGTAGGGAAGTGGGGGTATGAATTCTTTCACTAAAGGGGGCTTTTCCACAGTCTCCTCTTGACATTTATCCTCCTCTTCAACTGCATCTTTTTCTGATTCTTGCTTCCCCTTCTCTTGTAATGTTCTGCCACTCCTTAATGTTACTGCATTAACCTGCTCCCTAGGATTAGTCTCAGTATTGCCAGGCAAGCTTCCTTGGGGTCTTTCTGAGAGGAGTCTAGAAATTTGACCCAACTGAATTTCTAGATTATGGATAGAGGCTTGTTGATTTCTTAGTGCTGTCTCAGTGGATAGAAACCGAGATTCTGAGGTTTGAATGAATTTGGTCATCAGCTCCTCAAGGTTTGACTTCTTTTCGGCTGGGGGTGGTGGTGGTTGATGTGGAGTTTCTTAAAACCCTGAGGCTGTGTTGTTCCGCATTGGTTGTTGATTGTTGTTCCACGGTGAGTTTGTATAGTTCCTCCAGCCCGGATTATTCATGCCATTATAATTTTGGTACAAAGGTCTGTTTCCTATCACATTGGCATGTTCTTCCTGAGTAGCTCAACACTCATGATTAGGGTGGCCTCCTCCGCAAATATCACATCTCATCACTGGAGCAACTGGATGGTTAACAGATAAACCATCAATCTTCTTTCCTAAGGCTTTAACTTGCATTGCCAAGGATGTCACTGCATCAAGACTATAGATCCCCGCCGATTTTGCAGGTTTGGATCGAGTGGAGCTCCACTGATAGCTGTTCATTGGCATTTCTTCAAACAGTTCTTGTGCAGCCCTTGGTGTCTTGCTATTCAAAGTGCCCCCAGCTGCAGCATCTATCATTTGTCTTGTGGCTGGGTTTAATCCATTGTAGAAGGTTTGCACTTGAAGCCAGTCCGGAATCCCATGATGTGGGCATTTCCGCAACAATTCCTTGAACCTCTCCCACGTATCGTATAACGTCTCTGTCTCTAACTGGTAGAAGGAAGAGATGTCATTCCTCATCTTAGCAGTTTTAGCGGGAGGAAAATATTTTGCAAAGAATTTTTCTGCCATAGCCTCCCATGAAGTGATAGATCCTCGCGGGAGAGAGTTCAACCATTGCTTTGCTCTTCTCCTGAGAGAAAATGGGAACAGCCTCAAGCGGATTGCATCATCAGTAGCTCCATTAATCTTGAAAGTATCACAGATCTCCAGAAAATTAGCGATGTGAGCGTTTGGGTCTTCATCTTGCAACCCATCAAATTGAACAAACTGCTGAACCATCTGAATAATATTGGGCTTTATTTCAAAATTTCCCTGCACATCCGGACGAACAATGCTAGACTCTGTCCCCGTTTATGATGGACGAGCATAATCGGACATGGTCCTTGGTTGATCTTCGTTGTTTGCCATTCCTTCCATGTGTGTTTGTGCGTTTTCCCTCTGTACTAGCAGTCGTCTCTCTTTCCGAATTTTTCGCAAAGTTCTTTCGATCTCTGGGTCAAATTCAAATAGTTCTTCAAACAGTGCAGTAGAACGGGTTTTGATCATACACTAGAAAAATCAGCTCCTAAAAAGAATGAAAGCAAAATAGTTAAGTTAATTCAAGACTAAAGAAATAAATAAAATTAGTAAATACGTAATAAAGGGAATCCTAATTAAACAGTCCCCGGCAACGGCGCCAAAAACTTGGTGTGTAAAAATTGAATCACTGGGCAAGTGTCCCCGTTGTCGAAGTAATATTATTAAAATTAAAATTAAAGTACCAAGTGTCGTATCCACTGGGACTGTTATTGAGAAACTTTTCCTTAATTGCGTAATTATTAATAAATATGAAAAATAAACCTTGTTGATGAAATTGCTAAAAGTAAAAGAATAATAAATTAAAAGGAACAGATATTCAAGTGAAAATAAATTATAGAAAATTATGACTAAAGGTATTCAATGTAAAAAGGCAAGTATCTAGACTGTAAATCCCCCTAAGTGTCCAAATAACTGAAATTCTTCTTCAACTACTTAGTTCCAAACCCTTATCGCTCAGGAAATTCTAATTTAAATCAATATCTTTCTCAAGGGTAATGATTCCTAACCCTCAGTTGATTAATCGGAATCTCTTTCTTAATTAATACCCCTAGGTTGCATTAAGTTCATTGTGAATTTCATAATTAGGGTTAATCCTAATACAGAAAACTCACGTCTTTCTATCTCTAGAAATACATTCAAGTCTTTTTAATTGAGTAATGTTAATTTCATGCAGGAATTTTACTCAAATTCAAACAAGAAAACAAGATAGAGAAAATTGATATTACTCAATTAAACCCAAGAGAAAAGAACATGAAATAGCATTAGAAGAATTCCAGAAAATTTAGTCAATTAGGATTCATTACGTCTAGATACTCAAAGGAAAATTAGAACCTAAACATCTTCAAATTAAAATTACAAAAGAGATGAAATAAAATGCTTAATCCTATCCTCCTGCCGTCTCTGAGTCTTTCGTCTCCAAAAACTTCTTCCTTAGGTTTGAGTTCAGTTCTCCTTTTATAGAAATTATCCTAGGGTTAATTTTCTCGCAAAAGTTAAATTTCTGACGCGCGTAAAAGTACACGCCCAAGTACACGGCCATGTACTTGGCCGTGTACATCTCTGTTTTTTAATAGACGCCTTTCAAAGCTTTCCATAAAAGCACACGCTCATGTACACGGCCATGTATCTGGCCGTGTACATCTCTGGTCTCAATGATACACTTCAATTGACGCGACCAGTGAGATACACGCTCATATACACGGGTATGTACTTGCCCGTGTATATCTCTGGTTTCTTTTTCTTCAATTCTTGACATCTTTAAGGCTTTCACTTCTTGATCCTTTTTCCTGAAATATGAATAAAATGAAATTAATAATAGTAAATTTTCTCAATAAATAGCTTAAAACTCTCAATTATCATTCATGAATTACAATGTAGGATCAAGTATAGAAAGCATTTATCAGGATGCCTAATTGCTTAAAAGTATTCCAGTAGAGGATGTCGGCTGAACTTCCCTGATAAATAAGTGTTTTCCGTACGATGCAGTTGAGAATGTCTACACTTATCACCATGGGATCGTCTTGTATCGGGTCGACTCCTTGAAAGTCTTCGTCAATAAATATAATAGGGGGGATTCAAATCCTACTATCAAGTGAGACATTATTGACTGATCGGACTTGCCTCAAATGTCTCTTTCTGGCCGAATGGGTAGGTCCTCCACCGGTAAATCCTCCAGCTATGGTATTAATGACCCTTTTAGGATACTTCTTACGTTCATCATATCGTCTAGTTAGGGGTTCCCTGGACCTACTCCTCTGTCGTTTAAATTTTTTGTCATCGTATCTCCTCGATGACTCAGGGTAACGGTCTCTTCCTCTATTGGATTGACCGATGGGATTTGTCTGCACAAAATCTTTTAAATGTCCTTCCTTAATTAATTCTTCAATTTTATCCTTCAGCGCTGTGCACTCCTCGGTGGTGTGACTCATGTTCTGATAGTAGCGGCAAGCCTTGCTTTCATCTGCCCGAGGAGAGGTGTTGGCGCGTCTAGGCATTCTCAGTATTTCTGTGGCCAATGCCTGATCAAGTACTCTGGACTGATTAGTGTTGAGCGTAGTGTAGGAAGGATATTTGGGTCCCCTAGGCAGCCTTTCAAGTTCATTTCTTTTCTCCTTACTTTCCTGCCTAGACTTGAAAGTTTCTCTTCTATCTGTATTTTTTGAATTGGACCCCTAGTCCATCCATACATGGTTTCAGTACTCGGACAATTCCTCCATCTGCATATACTTTGCAGCCCGACTTCTCAACTCGTCTAAGTCAACAGGTGGTTTCTTGCAGATGCTGTTAACAAAAGGTCTTGGTTTAAGGGCCGTTGTGAGGTGGTGCATAGCCACTGCTGGTTCGAAGTTATGGATCGAAAGGCTAACTTTGCCGAAGCGTTCCATGAATGCTCTAAGTGATTCTCCCTTTTCTTGCCTAATATTGACCAACACCAAGGATGTTAAGGGATGAGGTCGGCTTGTGACGAACTGCAAGCTGAACCATCTTGTGAGGGTTGCAAAAGAGTCGATGGATGAAGGGGGAAGTCAAGTGAACCAACTGAGGGCTGGTCCTCAAAGTGATGTGGGAAAAATCCTACACCATAAAGAATCGTTCTCAGTATACAGACCGACCTGGGTTGTGAAGACATCTAAGTGTTCCCCAGGATCAGACGTACCATCATATTTTTCTATTGTTAAGCCTCTCCAGTTGTCAGGTAGCTTAGCTTCCAAGATGTGGTGAACGAATAGGCTCCGATTCACAAGATCGTCTCGGTCATTTTTTGCTTCAGATTAAAAAACCTGCTTTGATTTCTCCTGCAACGCCAAGGATTCCCCCTGATCCTGGACGAAGGGTGTAGTTTGGGAAAAGATATGTGTTTTTATTTATTCTCTCAAGTTAGCATTTTCCCTTCTTAGAGCCGAGAGCTCCAATGCATCCTTTTCTCTCTCCCTCTTCATCTCTGTCATTTCTGCTTTGAGCTGTCTCAGTACAGCTAAGAGACTCTCGTCAGTTCCTCCTTGCATCACAACTTCAGGTGTTGTTCATCTGGTGAGACACCCTCCAGCTGTTGCCGAGAGGTTCCTCCTTGTTGAGCATGTCCTTCCTGCTAGCTTCTCGTTAGTACCATGATTAATCTGAAAAATGAGGCTAATTGTGCCCCACGGTGGGTGCCAAAATGTTCCTCCTAGAGAAACACTAGTCTTCAAGTCTCTGCTCTGAAGTGATAACGTTCTTCTGACTGTCGCTGACGTGGGGAGGGTACCTGCAAAAGGTACTCCGATGCTGAAGTCAGGATCCGGTGTTGAGGAATAAATGTTATTTTATAATGAAAAGTCAACCTTTTACCTGTACTTTTACCTTCCTTATATAGGCACTGTAATGGGCTAATGGGCCTGCTAAGCCAGTCTTGATTTTTAACCTTTTATTTAAAGTAAATAATTTGTTGATTATTACCCTTAATTGGATTAATTACCTTTTAATTCTGACAAAGGGTATCCGGCCAAACTAAGCTGAATAGGTACTCGGTTTCCTTTCCCTACAAGTAGAACCGAGTTGTTCCCTATCCAGTACAGTGTTTACTTCTCAAATGATTATGGATTGGTTCATTATTGTTTTAGTTTCCTATTACATTATGTCTAGTTAAATTCATAATTAGGGTTATGGTGAATTGTTTGCAAGACTCTATGTAATTTTTGTGCTTAATAATAATTTCAATTTTCTTTCTTGATTGTTGTTTATCCTATTTCACTCTATTTGTATGTTCAGAACTGATAAGTCTTAAACATATCATAATTAATTATATTGTAGGTGACTGAACCATATATAGTTAATGGATAAACACCAATCAAGAAATGGACTAAGATTAGTTCTTCTCTTTCAATCGTTATTAAATTAATAGCTTATAGCTCTTTATGCTTTCTTTTCCTTTTACCTTGCATAACTATCAGGGGTAATAGCTTAGGAAAAATTATTAACATTACATGACCATTGAGTGTTAATAAATTTAGTATGAGTGGTTGGCAATCATAAGAAAACTTTAATTAGAATTAATCTAAAAGTGAACATTAAGTGTAAAAGTGAAATCATATGCCCTAGAATTCATCTTAATTAGTTTATTGTCATAGATTGTGTTACTCTCTTTAGTCACTTATTTCTCTTGAATTTAAATCCTTATTTTATTTAATTTTGATTCTCTTAAGTTCAAACAATTGAATTAAGTTATTCTTAGTATTTGAAAACAATTCTTATGAGACGGTATTTTAAAAAGTTATTTTAGAATCATTTATTACTTTTTGATAGGTATACTTGCCATGTAACATCCGTATTCTTTTTATACATAATTTTAATAAAATTTAATTAAAATAAGTAACATTTTAGATAAATTAGAAAAATTTATGTGAATTTAAATCTTAAAACAATGAAAGTTATCAAAATACTAAAACTTTAAATATAAGTCTCATTCATAACATAAAAATGTATTTTTATAATTTAAATTGAACATTAAGATAAAGTAGAATTAAGAGAATTAACTATTAAATATTACAAATATACTTCAAATCATTAATTATAGTAAACTTTATCAAACCTTTTAAGTTTCTTAAAATCAACATCAAATTGTTTACATACCAAAATCAATTTCTAATTAGGATTTAATCAAAATTATTATAACTTTAATTCTAATAGAGCATAATCTTTCTTGCAATACCAGTGAGGAGGATATGATCTTAGAATAGATCGTTCTTCATTTAAATTCTTGAAAGTATAATTGTAAAGATGAGTATTCATCGCCCCACTAAATCCCTTATTTTATAAATGAACAAATAATACAAAAACATCATTAAATACAATAAACACCAAAATAATATTAGTTTGCATATTATATTAATGAATTTACAACAGCTCAAACATCATAACAATCACATCATTAAATAATTCAAAAAGTATACTAAGATCATGTCATTTTATTTATCTTTACATTAATCAATACGTCATAATACGTGCGTTCTAATCATATTAATCAATGGCATTACAATATATGCATTATAATCACACTCGTTGATGTATTATAATACATGTATTATAATAACACCAATCAATCTATTACTACACATGCATTATATTCACAAGATCACCATATTATAACAGATATGTCTACATTCATTGTCCTTGGGATCCTTAAGGTCTTACATAAGTATAAATAGTTGCTGGTTAGCCAAATCAACACGAATAGAACGTGTGTCCACTTGGCCCCTTCCAGCAAAGGTATAGTTAGGAGTTTAGTCGGAGAACAATTGTAAGGCCTATGATATTGTCATTTTCAATAATTCATGTACACCTGTAACATCCTTAATTTCTTATCCAAAACAGATAAAATTTTATAACGAGAAAGGAAAAATTAAAGTGAATTTCTTTTATGTTTTTAGTTTAATTATTGAAAAAAAAATCAAACTTGCATTTCTCTAATCCAAATTAATGAAAAGATAGGGACATTCCAAATCTTTTAAGAGAAATAATTTTGAAATTTTAAATTTACAAACAGAACAAACTAAAATTTTCGTCTTGGCAATTTATTTAGTCCATGATACATACATATAAATTTGGAACATAAATAACTTTGTCATTCAGTAAGGTAAATATCTATCTAAAATGAAATATAATCTATAATTAAAGTAACTAACTATCAATATTACAAATACTTTGAATTACTTATTACAGCAAAGTTTTACTAAGTATCACAAATTTAAAACGAATTGACCTTAAAATATTTAATACTCTTATCAATAAAAAAAAATAGAACTTAATCAAAATTATTACAGTCCTTCAAATTAATCTAAACATTATCAAATCAACTCTTCCTTACAATCTCACTAAGAGTATAATTCTAAATCAAATCAACATTTTTTAATTCTTCAATTTCATTTCTTGAAAAATGATTCATAAAGGTGAGTATTCTCGACCCACTAAATCCTTTATTTTACAAATAAATCATGCAACACAAAAATATCACCTCATACAATATGTACTAACATAATACTAACTCATTTATTGTATTAACAAATCTTACAGTAGATCAACATAATAAAAATCATATAATTAGTACTTTCATGCATACACTAGACTCATCATTTTATATATTATTATATCAAGTAGTATATCATAATAGATGTGTTATAATTACATTAATCAATCTGTTATGACTCACCTATTACAATTATACATTTCACAATTCCACAATTATTGTCTTTATGATCCCTTGAGGTCTTACATAAGTGTAGATAGTCGCTAGCTAATCTGAACAACATGGATACAATGTGTGTTCCCTGACCCCTTTTAGCAAAGGCATAATCAAGAGTCTAAAAGTTTAGTCAGAAGATGAGTGTGTATGGCCTATGATGCTCTCAATTTCAGCAAATCATGTGCACTCACTTACTAAAGTATTCACCACCTTTATTTCCTCAAGATTTCCTAAATCGTCTCTGGAGTCTATACCTTCAGTATATCTCTGTAACTATTTATATATATTCTCAGCATTTCTTATAACATTCACTTTATCAACATTTTAACATTTCACATGACATATATTTTACTAGCACTTCTCTTTTCATTTTATAACATAAGCAACTTTAATTTTTCATGCATACATATTCACCTTAGTCCTCTATTCATCAATTTTCACTAATAAACATTTTATCATATGAGGCAGTAAAACACTTTTCATCAATAACGTAAATTCACCAATCTCAACATATATCAACTATTAAACAAAATTCATATTCATATTCATTATCATCTATCATTCTAATATAGAGAAATCATCAATTAATCCCATATCATACATGTCAAGAAAATATGCTGGAGGTATTACACATTCGGATTTAGACAAATCATACAATATAATTACATTATTAAAGATCACACTCTCTCAGTCTTTTTATACAAATCATTTATCCTAGTGTTTAGCATCTTCTATTACATATTACTCAGAGTCATAATCCAACATTAACTGTAATTATATTAATATTAAAATTATAATTTTTTTAAAAACTCAGATTTTTGCTATAAAAATCTCATCTAGGTAATTTTGGAAATAGATCATAGGATTTTCATGCTCAAAATTCAATTCTTATCATTGAAATCTTAATAAATATTAAAGTTTTACCATTCAAACCAAAAATATTAAAGTTTTTAAGCCAAAAATACAAAATAAGAGTTAAAGTTTGACATTAACTCTCCTCATCTAGAAATATGTCTATAAAATTAAGTTCTTTGTAAGATTCAAAAGAAAAAATAACGATTTTAATTAAAGATTTTGTCTTAAAGATCGAGATTTCCTTGAGTATTTTATGTGTTTAGTCATTAAAAATATAATTTTTATTAAAAAAATTACAAAAAGTATTTATTTTTATAAGAAAATAAAAATTTTCATATTTTTAGAAACTAAACGTATATATTTAAGCTAAATATGATTATACATAAATCTTAGATTAGTCGAATGTCCAGTGGTATTCAGGCACTTATGTTCTCCGCTGAAAAAGGGTTAAATCTAATATATCTACTTGAATTAAATCTGCATGTTTGATCGTTAGTTAATATACCCTTCTAAGCAGGAAGTTAAAAGAGTTTCGTTTCAGAAATATCTGTTTTGGTTTTTCAAAAGAAATTTCTGCTTTTTTTTTCATATCTGCTTAAAAGCAAACTACCGTCCTTTCTGTTGGGCTACCTGTTTAAAGGTTGTTGGTTTTCAAAAAAGGTTGGGCCTATGAGTTGGTAGCATGAGCGTTTCAGGCTAGATTTGTTCTTTTCAAGAAAAAAAAAAAAGGCTAGACTTTTTCTCTGTGAGCTTGGAGTTTGACTCTTCGAGAGAAAGCGCAGCGCAGTGGTAATGTAATTTCGCTCCGGAGTTTTGAGTATGAGGGACGGGAACGAGGAAGCGTTCCAAGTTTGCAAATCAGCAAAAGCAAGCGAGTCCTGCAGAAGATTCTGAGCGTGTTGCCAGCTTCATCCATGTCTCTCTCTCAGGTTGGATACTTGGTTCCGCTAAATCAAAATTTTGAGGAAGAAGCTTCCGTTCCCAAGTTACTTATCTCAGATGGCACAAATGTTATTGGACGGTGCAACATTCCTGTTTCGGACAAGAGACTGAGCCGCAAGCACCTCACTCTAACTGCTGCTGCGGATGGCTCTGCCAATTTGCTCGTTGTATTAACCGTTGCACCTTACAATCAAACTGGGTTCTTGTTCTGCTTTTTTCTTTTTTAATTCGAGATTTTGTTCTGTTTTTTTTAATGTTAGGAGGGGACGAATCCAGTGGTTGTAAATTCTGGGAATAAGAGAAGGAAGCTGAATTCTCAAGAAGAAGGTACCATTTCCGATGGTGATATAATTGAGCTCATTCCCGGTCAACATATTTTTAAATATCAGGTGTTGAATGGTGAGAAAAGATCTTCAAGTGGTAGAAACAATGAGGCTCAACCATCATTCAGAGATAAAGCTTCAGGCAGGCTTTCCCAGGTATTCACTGCTTTATTTTCGATTAAGTGTTTGTGTTGTTCATGTAATAACCATCTATATGTGTGAGCCTTAAGCTAATTATGATCTCATTTGTGTGTGTGTGTGTGTTGGTAAAATGAATCATTTGTGTGAAATCTGCAGGATAAGATTGAAGCTTGCAGCAAGAAACAAGGAAGAAATGCAGCGGCTGGGAGTTCTCGGTCGAGTAAAGACAGTAGTGTGGAGGCCATACGTAATTTCCATGTCCCTAACGACCAAATACCTTCCACCTTTAGACTTTTGCGTGTGCAAGGGTTACCCACTTGGGCAAATACTTCTTGTGTTTCTATAGGTGATGTTATTCAGGTAGGTGATAATAATGTTGTGGACATTACTAACATATTCTGTTCATGCTGTGTTCTCTTGAATTGGTATTTTGATCTATAAATCAATTGTTTTTGTGCTTCATGGTAAACCTTGATGTTTCAGTTTTCAACCATGGCTAGGATTAATTACGCAAAGCTTACAGAGAAACCTTTACTGCTTTAATCATTGGCTCAATTTTTCACAAAAACACGCCAAGTTGACTAGTACAGGTGTATTTAGCTGGACAAGATTGGGATTACTTATTGATTTTATTTTAATGCTTGTCGCTGATAGGGGGATATTCAAATTGCTATTCTTTCAAACTACATGGTGGACATTGACTGGTTGGTTCCCGGTGAGTTTTGTGGTTCAGAATTTCCATTTCTTCTTTGCTTGTTCATTTCTATTCCTTGCATTATTTTCTCTGTTTGCTGTCTGATTTTCATTTTCGTTTTTCTTTGTTGTATTTTGAACTTGCTGGGGGCAGTTTCGTTCTTGCTTTGTCTTTCTTATGCTTCTTGTAGGGAAAATTACATTATATTACTTTACGAGTTTACGTATTAACATAGCAAAAAGGAGCCACCTAATCATCTATCTCTCTATTATGCATGTCCATTGGCTGTTGGCCTATCTGATGTTCTAAACTTTGTGCACACATGAATATATTGGATTGAACTTCTTCCATTGTTGATCTATTTCTATTTTCATCTTTTCTAAATTTTCTTGGTGTAGCATGTCCTGCACTTTCTAAAGTTCCCCATGTGCTTGTTATTCATGGAGAAAGTGATGCGAGGGTGGATTACATCAAGGTTTGCTCAGATCTAATTTTGTTTTTTTGGCTAGTTATTTGTAAGATTGAATATGTAAGACTTGTTGAATGAATAATAACTTGCTAATTCTATGATGGTTAGAGAAACAGACCTGCAAACTGGATTCTGCACAAACCACCACTGCCAATTTCATTTGGGACACACCATTCAAAGGCCATGCTGCTTATATATCCTAAAGGAGTAAGAGTCATTGTGCATACAGCGAACTTAATTTATGTAGATTGGAACAATAAAAGCCAAGGTTTGTGGATGCAAGATTTTCCATGGAAGGATCAAAATAGTCTGAGCAAGGGATCTGGATTTGAAAATGACCTGGTTGAATATCTCAATATGTTGAAGGTAATGATATATACTGTTCTTTTATACTTGAGAACCAAATAAACAATCTGAAGAAAAAATGGGGTCACAACTCACAACTACACCGATGCGATAAAATTAATACTCTGTTGTCTGTAGTTCTTGAAAACCCCAGTGGAAGTAACCTATCCCAAAATCCAAATAACTAGACAATTGGATTATTATGGAACATTCACTTGTAAAAGTTTTCAGCTTAGATTACTGTAAAAACTCATTGCCAATCTGAGCACTTACATTGCTTATGAAAGCTAAATAATTGCCGACAGTTGTTGATATTGGTGTTATTGATTGATTGGGTATTATCATTAGTGTTTCTAATCATTATTTATTGGGTGGTTCAGTGGCCAGAATTCTCGGTCAAACTTCCGTCACTTGGAAACTTCAGTATATGTCCATCTTTCTTCAAGAAGTTTGATTATGGTGATGCAAGGGTATGTTTTCCATTCACCATTCTTAAATTACTTTTTCTGTTATTTAATTGATTATAGCGATACATTGTCGGAGACACTGTCTATCAGGATATATAATGCTGTTTGCATTATACTCAGGTTAGATTAATTGCATCTGTACCTGGATATCATTCTGGTGCTGGTTTGAAAAAGTGGGGACATATGAAGCTGCGTTCTCTGCTCCAGGAGTGTACTTTTGATGAAAAGTTTAAGAAATCTCCGCTTGTTTATCAGGTGCAGTTGAGCTGTTGGCTAGGTTGCATTATATTCTGGGTGCAGTTGGTTGATTTTGATCTTAACTTATAACTCCAGTATTAAGTGAAAAGGTTATCACACTATTGTTATATTTTCTTTCATTTGATGGTCTTCAACTTATGCTAGTATCGTTTTGGTTAGAATTAGAATGTATCGTTTTGTGACAGATTTTAGAATAGTGCAGTATTTATCATTTGCAATTTGTTGATATACTTGGCCGATATCTACTGCAGTTCTCCTCCCTTGGCTCTTTAGATGAAAAATGGATGGCTGAGTTGGCTTCATCAATGTCAGCAGGTATCTCTGAAGATAAAACACCCCTTGGTATGGGGGAGCCTCAAATCATATGGCCTACAGTTGAAGATGTTAGATGCTCCATAGAGGTAAAGTACATGTATTTTGAGGATGTATTTTTTATTTTCCGATGAAAAAAGAAAGTTATCTTCAGTTTGCATTTCATGTTCAATTTAAAGGTTTTTTTTAGAGAGTAATAAAACATTTGCTGAAATGTCACATGCCTAGTCTATCTGTATCCGGTCAAGAACCCTTTCATTTTTGTGATGTATGCTTCATAATTCTTACTGGTACTAAACATAAATCTGAGAACGGGCATTGGGCAGGGTACCTAATATCACCCAGATATAGTAGATTGCACTAGCAGTAGATCTTGCCTACTTATTACTTAATTCCTTAATAGTTAGACCTGTATCCGTTTACCCATTTCCCACGTGTACATGTAAAAATTCTGACTTGTTTTTTTTGGTGTTCTATTAAAAAAAAAAAAAACTAAAAACCAGAGAACTCAAAAGTTATAATAATTACAAATATGGTACAATATTGAAATTTGGCAATGTTTTTAAATAATGATTATATATATATATATATATATATATATATATATATATCAAAATGCCCAGACCCTTGTAGATATTTCCTGGGGTACCTGTGGGTTCTGCGATCAAAGTTTATCCTTTCTACTTTAGGTATCTTTTGGTACTAACTGATAAATAATATAAACGTATCTTGACTATAAAACTAATTTATTGACATGAATGATTATTTAAATTTGTTTGACTACTCTATCATTGATTCCTATCTTCTATGATATTTATTGATGTGCAAGTTTTGTTTTCTGTTTTGTTTTTCTTTTTTTTCCTCTTCATTTAGGTGTGTTTCATAATTGAATTTTTAGATGCAACGTTTTAGACAACTATTTTGCCATTTATTTGTACTCTAGGGCTATGCAGCTGGAAGCGCTATTCCAAGTCCTCAGAAGAATGTGGAGAAAGTGTTTTTGAAGAGGTATTGGGCAAAATGGAAAGCAGACCATACCGGTCGTAGGTAAGTATTTTTTATGATACAATTGATGCTATACTACGACTTATTAATCTTACCTTTTACATAAAAACTCCTTTAGCCTGCCAATTCTTTGAAATGTTTATCATTTAAATAAATTCACATTGTCTTGGAATTATAATAATTATACGATATTTTTTGCAATCCATTTATTGAATTTGAGTCAAGAAATTGCACCACCCCACCTTTCCTAGCTTCTTGGCTCCGGAATAGGTTTATCAATAAATAAGTCACGATTGTCTTGTAGCGTATTGGTGGTTGATTTATCTAAAATCCTGGAAGGAAACCAGAAAACTTGGCACTCCTTGCCTTGGCAATCAAAATTTTACTGGAGATTAATGCAAATTTGTCTCACCAACTATACCTTTTTGTATGCTATGTTTCAGCCGTTGTATGCCACATATAAAGACTTTCGCTCGTTACAATAATCAGAATCTTGCGTAAGAGCTTCATCTGACCTATTATATGCACTTCAGTCTATCATGTTTGTTGAATTTTTTGGTCATTTACTGCACTGCTTAGTCATGCTATAGATAGTTAACCATGAAAACACCTTCCCAAATAGTTGGTTCTTGTTAACTTCGGCAAATCTTAGCAAAGCCGCATGGGGAGCTCTCCAGAAGAACAATACTCAGCTGATGATTCGGTCATTCGAGGTATGTTATGTTTTTCAGATTGTTGGTGTTCTTATTTGCACAGCCCCAAGATTAGTGACGACCATAATTTTCAAGCCTTACGGAATGACATACCAGAATCTGAAAATGCAAAAAAGAGTTTTTTTCTGGTGGTTATTAATTTGATTCTTAACTTAGGGAATTTGCAGTCAAATACATTTTATCCTGTTCTGTAGAGGTCGCACTAAAAATTATTTTTATACATATTTCCTTTCAGCTGGGAGTGCTATTTCTACCATCATTATTCAAACGACATGGATTTGCATTTTCCTGTACCAGTAATGTAGTATCTAAGGTAGCAGCACATCCTTGCTTTCTTATGGTGTTTTATTATTGGCATCATTTAACTTAAAATGGTTAGGGGAGAAGGAAGGATCTTCCAGTCACCTTCCGAAGTAGGGGTGATAGCTCAATCCATCTATCTAATAACCATCCAATTAACCTAGTGATAAAAATAAAAATTAATAGATAGATTAGATTGAATCACCCTTTATCATTGAATAGATAATGATCCATCCAACATATTTTTTATATTACATTAGATTAAATAATCTAAAGTCTATTAGATGAATAATAAGTCTTTTAACGGATGAATTGAATATTCATTTTGTAAAAAATCATTAATGAATGAGTTAGATATTTTTTATTAAATAATTTAATGGATGAATTGGATTTTTTAACACATTTTTAATAGATTATAGATTGATTAATTTTTTTTATTCATTATTATGAATTATGATTTAATTCAACTTATCTAATACTGAAGGGAAACAGACTCGTGCTAACAAACTAAGAATTACAGGATAAATGCTCATCAAAGGAAACTTCTGAAATGAAGAAAACAAAACTAGTGACCCTACCTGGGCTGACAAGGGAGAAAATGCATTCATCTTCTGAAGTTGATATCCCATTACCTGTGCCTTATGAGCTCCCTCCACTGCCTTATTCTTCTCAAGGTCTAGCCCTGCCACTCAGCTGTTTTTCATATGTCCCTAGTTTAAGTGGCCTGACCTTTTGCATGTCTTCTAATTATCATTTCCCTCTGCAGATGTCCCCTGGTCTTGGGACCGGCAATATGTTAAGAAAGATGTCTATGGTCAAGTTTGGCCGCGTATGTAAGCATACCAAAATTGATGACATTCTTAGTGTACATAACCATTGGACTCCTCTCCTTAGTAGAGATAATGGTGCTATTGTTTTTGCAGCCAAGAGTTTCCTTATGACAAGGTGTCTCATTTTCCTTCGACACAGGTTTCTTTTTGTGTATGTTTTTGTCAAAGAAATCGGGGTAAATTTTTGTTTTGGAGTAAAATATACCGAGTTAGTATATTATATGATTCATAAATAAGTTAATAAAATGGTTTATTATAATAAGTTTTTAAAATTATAATATTTATAAATTAATTGTGATAAGTTTTTGCTTTTATTCATGTAAAATTTAATTCTATTTTGTTGAACTTATTTTTTTTTATATTTGGTTTTTAAGTTAGTTCAAGTATTTTATTTATGTTTTTAATGACTATTCGATTAATTTAATGATTATGATTGAAATTTAAGTAATAAAGTTTAAAAAAATATTTAAAACAAAAGATTATATAAAATTTTTGTTTAGAATAGTATAGCAGAAACTTTATTCTATTATTTTTTATTTTTCTTTTTCAAATAGTATGTAGCAATATTTTTTAAATCTAAAAATTTAAATAATTATATAATTTTTATATTTTTATACTTTGCATTATAATTTGTGAATAAAATTAATTTAATTTATAAATATTATATATTTATCTTAATTCTTTTAAAAACAAATAATCATTAAAAATAATTAAAGAAATATGGTTAAAAATTAAAAAACGTAAAAAATTATTTCTTAAATTTTTCTTTAAATTATATTATATTTGTTTAAATTAATTTTATACAATTATGAATATACAAATTTAATATGCGTTTAAGTCATTATTTTGTTAAAGTAATTTAACTTAAATCATAATTATTTAACTTAAACAAAAATACGATATAATATAAAAGAAATTTAATTCAATCTTATTTAAGTCAAATTTTATTCACTTAAATAAATATTAAAATATTTTATGTAGCTTAAATAAATTAATAATCATTTAAATGATATTTTATTTAATATGCTTCGTTTGAATAAAAAAATATGATTTAAACAAAATTAAAAATTAAACGCAAACATACGTGAGAAAATAAAATTTTCTCTAACGAGGTTACTTCCTTCGTTATTTATGTTTAAAGATTTTGTTTAAAATTTTCACATAAATTATTGAGATAAATGAGATACTGAAAAAGTTTTATTTTATTTTTCAATATATCTATGGAGCGAGTACTTCACATAGATTATTGAGATAGGTGAAATACGTGAGGAAGTTTTTTTAACTTTTTTTTAATACATCTATCGAGTAAAATTACTCCCTTCATCACTCATGTTTAAGGATTTTTTTTAATTTAATTTTTTTAAAATTTCTATTTTTTTTTAATACATCTATCTTTAAAGATTTTGTTTATAAAAAATTTTCACAGAGATTATTGCGATAGGTGAGATTACTCCCTTCAATTTCAGATACGTGAGAAAAGTTATAACTAATATACTCCCTTCTAATGTAAAAGAAAAAAAAGTTATCAACCCCTAAAACCGGGCTTTCTAATTTTGCTCCCCAAACCGACATGCGCGCAAGCATAAGAAACCAAATCCAATTGACATTGATTGTCAAGACACACGAAACTTGATATTAGAATGCAGATATTCAGATAGTACAAAGCAATTCCCAAGAACACAAAAATCTAACTTATTTGAAGGCCCAACAGGGACCCATACTAGACAAGTTTTGAAATCTTACGAGCAACAGCACTTAAAAACCACCACGGAGACGGAGCACAAGGTGAAGGGTAGACTCCTTCTGAATGTTGTAGTCAGCAAGGGTCCTTCCATCTTCTAACTGCTTCCCTGCAAAGATCAACCTCTGCTGGTCCGGTGGAATACCTTCCTTGTCCTGAATTTTGGTCTTTACATTATCAATAGTATCTGAACTCTCCACCTCAAGAGTTATGGTTTTCCCTGTCAAGGTCTTCACAAAAATCTGCATGCCCCCCCTCAGTCGAAGCACAAGGTGAAGTGTAGACTCCTTCTGTATGTTGTAATCGGCCAAAGTGCGGCCATCCTCAAGCTGCTTCCCAGCGAAAATCAACCTCTGCTGGTCTGGGGGAATGCCTTCTTTATCCTGAATCTTAGCCTTGACGTTGTCAATGGTGTCAGAGCTCTCCACTTCAAGAGTTATTGTCTTCCCAGTAAGGGTCTTAACAAAGATCTGCATACCACCACGTAGACGCAACACAAGGTGAAGGGTCGACTCTTTCTGGATGTTGTAGTCAGCCAAAGTGCGGCCATCTTCCAGTTGCTTCCCGGCAAAGATAAGCCTCTGCTGGTCTGGGGGGATACCCTCCTTGTCCTGAATCTTAGCCTTTACGTTATCAATGGTGTCAGAGCTCTCCACCTCAAGGGTAATTGTCTTTCCGGTAAGGGTCTTCACGAATATCTGCATGCCACCACGGAGACGTAAAACAAGGTGAAGGGTCGACTCCTTCTGGATGTTATAATCAGCCAAAGTGCGTCCATCCTCCAGTTGCTTGCCGGCAAAGATAAGACGTTGTTGGTCCGGTGGGATCCCTTCCTTGTCCTGGATCTTTGCCTTAACGTTGTCGATGGTGTCTGAACTCTCCACCTCCAGAGTTATGGTCTTGCCTGTGAGGGTCTTCACGAAGATTTGCATCTGCAGCATCACCATCAATCAATAAATCAATAAATCATAATTAAACCAAACCACCACAGATAAATAAAGAAAAAACCCTAAGAATCTTAATTGCAATAATTGACAAATTTTGGTCAATGAACCTCGAGGTCCAAAATATAAATAGAAGCCAGAAATTTCGAGAGCAAATCCCAAATTATAATTATCGTGTTTAAAGAACAGCTATTATAAACCTAAATCAAGGGCGATGCGATTCATATTTGCAAAATCATAAACTATTGCCGAAAAAAAAAGACCAACAGAATGAATTTTCAGACAGATCTCAAATCTAACAAAGTTCAAGATAAGAAATTTAAAATCTCGAGGTTTAAACATAAGAACGAGGATTGATTTGGAGTATTGAAAGAACATCGAAAGCTGAAAAAGGAAAGAGGCGTATACCTTGAAGGCTTTCGCTGGATCAAGGTCAAAATAGGTATAGGTGATGTTGTATTTTGAAGAGAGAAACCGGTTCGGGGCGTATTTTATAGCAGGATTTTAGGTGACCGACTTCGCTACAGTGACGGAGAGAGCATGACCTAATGGCCAATAAGGCTTGGACACGTGTATGGATGAGTGCTAGCTGAGTAGCTGCCAGCTTTTGGCATGATGTTTAAAGTTTAGAATTAGGATACGTTAGTTAAGTTAGCGGTCTCGTGACGGAGTCAATGTACCTAGACGCTGTTGGGGTCTTTACTCTTTTATTCACCGCCAAGCGAGCGTTATGACGTCGTTATTACCGCTATTTCCTTGTCACTGAGCACCTGGTGTATTATATTATTATTATTATCCTTTGCCTACAGCAATAGGCAAGTGGGCTTTTGAAGGCTTAATCACTGTGGACTCCCTTTCCGTTATACGGTATCCGATACCTTGTAAGACTATACTTTTGCCTTTTCGGAAATCAAAATCTTACAGCTGCAAGTTTCATTTCCGGTTAACGTAGATCCGGATCCTCTCATGTTCTTGCGCGAACATGAGCATCCTTTGTTTAAATGAATTTGAAATGGTTTAAACAAATTTGAAGTGAATTTTTGCTTAAGTCAAAGTTTTTAACTTAAGCGACTCATTTATGAAATTCTGACTTTAAAGTGAAGCTAAGCAAGAGGTTGAGAATATCCGCTTAAGCGAAAAATAACTACATAAGTGAATATGGAATCGTTCTATTTTGCTCAAGTGAATATTATTTTATATTAAGCGAATTTAGAACAGAGAGCCATGTATTTTAGGATAGATACTCGCTTAAGCTATTATGTATTCGCTTAAGCAAAGACGTCATTGGCTTAAGCGGATGCAAGCGAATTTATTTAAAATAAAGCGAATTTGGGACAGAGAGCACTGATATATAGACCCATAAATCGCTTAAGCTAATTTGGATTAGCTTAAGCGAATAGATATATAGCTTAAGCGGTTTTTGTGAGATTGGAGCAAATTTATAATCGCTTAAGCGAATTATGCAGAAATTAGAAAGATTATGCAGAAACTGACAACACGTAAAAATTTTACAAAATTGCTTATCAAAGTCAACTTCAATCATCCAGAAATAGTTAATTGTGGCAAAAAATAATATGGATAAAGAGTCCATTCCATTAATGGTCCACAATTGTTCATAATGAAATATACACAAAAAGGATTCATTACTACATAGGCAATTCAAAAACAAAAAAAGTCAAAGCCATTCCATTCCATTCCAGAACATTCCATTCCAGAACAACAGAATCAAATACCATCATTCAATACACTTCAAAATATCAATTGATTATGCCAGCATAACATGGATAAAAACTTAAGTCCATTCCATTAATGAAATGTAATTGTTCAAAATGAAAGCATACACAAAACTAAATCCATGACAAAATAGGAAATATTTCAAAGTAAATACATCCATAAATAATTTGAGGACTATGGATTGATCATGTCTGCTATATAGTCTTGGTCATTGAAGTCCTCATTACGTTGTCCGTCATTGTATGCAGCATTATCCTCATCCGCTCCAAATTGTTCTTGTGCTTGGTCTTCAACCACTGGTTGATTTCCCTGAATATCTTCGTTAACTCCCTCCTCTGGGTGGACGATATCATCCTGTGCAAATTGGTGTTCAGTTGAGAAAGTTGGGCTGTCTCCAGGCCAGGATACAATAGTTGCAAAAGTTTCAGGTGTAGGCCAAGGGAAAGTCTCTCCATGATGTTGGTGTAATGTAAACCTGTGAATTGACAAAATGAGGGTTATGTTCAACAAATTGAATATATCCAAATAGTATGTAAAAGAAATTCTTTAAATAAAGTTAACTTGTAAAAAGCCTCATTCAGCTGCATGTACGCTTGGTTGTTTGCTGCATTTTGTTGTTCTATATGAGTCAAATGGTGTATGATAGCAAAATCTATATTTTGCATGTGAGGCATGGATGGTGTAGTTTGTGGTGGTGTCGCTGCAGGTGCTGTAGATGAGGTCGGCTGAGAAGAAGCTGGATTAGGATGCTCTAATGGATTAATGTAGTAATTTCTGATGAACTGAGAATTTATAGGTTTCTTCAATTTAACTGTTTGGTTGGAGCAGTCGAGAATCGTAACACCTTGTGAAGCACATAAAGCAGTAATCAAAGCAGTAAAACCCAAAGGCTTTGTCGCTGCTGCAGTAGCAGAGGTGTTGGACATGACAAATTGGTGGATTTCATCTGAAATGATTGCTGCTATGTCCACAGTTAACTTCTCCACGAAGCTATAAATCAGATATGCTTGAGGCATGCGAACATCTGAGGTGTGTGTGGTGGGGGCAATGTTGGCAAACAGAAACGATGTCCAGATTTGTGCCAAAGTATTTAAACTTTGCCTCTTGAACCTCATTGCCTTTCCAGCAGCATTTGTCTCAAAGGTTTTCCTGGGGATGCATAAGATCTTAGCTACCTCTTGGTCTACAAAACCTAAAAATCTCCTTCTACGTTGTTGGTATTGGCAAAGCTCTCCTTCTGGTAAGGTCATAGGATTGCCTAGAAGTGTAGAAATAGCCTCCCTATCATAAGCAATTGTTTGCCGACGAACCCAGGACTTCCTCTCTGACTTATCTGGTATCAACGACCATGCATTTGTGTAAAATTCTTTTACAATGATTTCATGTATTTGGTTGGGAAGATTTATCAAATATTGCCATTTCCTTCTGACAATTTTCTGCATAAATTCATCATACTCTCCTTGGGCTAATACCACTTTCCTTTCAGGTAGTAATTCCCTTTGCTCCAATTGAATGTATCTTTCAGCCTTTGCCCTAGTTCTGAACCTAAATCTATCCCATGATAAGACTGGTGTATGTGTTTGTATTTCTATTGCCTCTTGGTCATCCATAACTTCATTTTGATGTGAACCTTGTCCAACCTCAGGTCTTTGCCTTTTTCTTTGAGGAATTGACTTCTTAGGTGCCATGCTGAAATAAAAATAAGAAATAAAATCATGAATTTTGGATTAAAAATAGATCAGTCGATATCCTAAATGAACCTGAGAGGTTATTTCACTTCAATGGCATAAATGACTGAATATATGTTATTCGCTTAAGCTAAATTTGCTTGAGCGGTTTTTGAGCCTGTGGATTTCAGGTATGACAACCAAATCGCTTAAGCGACGCTAAGCGGCTTAAGCGATTTTAACAGCGTACATAACCAACATGCTGGGCACCCAAATAATAGTGAGGAAGAAATAATCAAAACATCTACTTTGTTATCACATTAGAAAATTAGAAATACATGTTTCAGAGTAGTTTGCATATATCATATACAAGAATGACAGTGGGACTTTCATTTAAAAAAACAAATTGCATTCATTTTACAGGTTAAGAAGAAAGTACCTGATTTTAAACAGTCTGGAATGAAATATGTTGGGTTTAGGGTTTTGGGATGGGAGAAGGAAGGAGAAATTTCAGAACGCAGGTACTGTGAAATGAGAATGCTAATGACCAAGGCAAGGAGAAGTCTTCAAGAGTCAAGGGTACTTTGAACTATGAAGAAGTTAACCGTCACATATTTTGCTTAAGCTAAGTATTTTTGCTTAAGTGAATTTCTGTTTAAGCGAAAAAATAGAGTTAAAAATTTCGCTTAAGCGGTTAAGTTAAGTGGAATTTCGTTTAAGCGAAAATTACTCGCTTAAGCGGATGAATTTTCTGAATGGCGCCAAAAGCTCACTGCATTGACGTATAGTGGAAATAATAAAGGATTGCTCCATTCTTCCCTTCTATCAAACACTCAATTATTTTTTCTTGTATGAATATTTGATACAGAATGGACCTTTTTGTATCTACATCCTTCACTTAAGAAAGGACCATTCTGAATCATGCTCCTACAATTGTACTAGGGAAGGTCTTGCCAACCGACGTCAACAACAACCAAGGGAAAATATCACAACGTAAACAACAGTGTAAAGAAGCACAGTTATTTAACATTGTGTTTTTCATTTACCTTATTCATTTTGAGGAATCAATGGTTATGATGTTTCTTCTTGAATTTTTGGGTTAAAAAGTAAATGGAATGCATGGATGTTGCATGGAAGCCACGTGTTGGGTTACAGTTTGAGACTCTTGAAGCAACATGAAAAATTGGTGTGAATATGGAAGGATAACAGGATTTGGTGTGAGGAAATAATATTGGAATAGGCGAAAGGTTGATGGTGTTATTTCATCTTGTCAGTATGTTTGTTGTAAAGAGGGACATCGAAAGGATGATAAAAGAACAGTGATGAAGCCCAGGACAGAAACTAGGACTGATTGTCTTGTAAGAACAACATTATTTTTGGGAAGCAACAACAAATATGTTGTACATGAGTTTGTTGAAGAGCATAATCATCTATTACAACTTCCAGAAACAACACATATGCTTGCTTCGCATCGTAACATAACTGAAGTCTAAGCTCATCAAATCGATTTGGCCGAGTCCTCAGGATTGCAACAGACAGCTAATGAGCACACTTGCAGGACATCGAGCTAATGTTGGCTATACTCTTCTAGATGCAAAAAATTATTTGAAGGTTAAGAGACAAAGGGGAATGTTATACGAAGAAGTTGGTTGCTTAATGGAATATTTTCAACGACAGTTAATTGAGAACCCATCATTCTTTCATGCATACCAAATGGATGCTGAGGAACAAATTACAAATATTTTTTGGGCAGATGCGAAGATAGTAATTGATTACGGGTGTTTTAGTGAAGTCATATCATTAGACACTACATATTGCACCAACCGAGCTAATAAACCTCTAGCCTTGTTTTCAGGTTTTAATCATTATCGAGGTGTTGTTATATTTGGGCAGCCTTGTTGTATGATAAAACAGCAGAATCCTTTAAGTGGTTGTTTGAGACATTCTTGGAAGCACACAATCAAAAACAACCTCAAACAATTTATACAGACCAAGATCAAGCTATGGCCAAGGCAATTGTCCAATTAATGCCTCATACACATCATGCTTTATGCACATGGCATTTAATGCAATATGGCATAAAACACCTTGGCAATTTGATGAAAGGAGAAAGTTATTTTATAAGAGATTTGAAGAAATGCATGTATGACTTTGATACTTCAATTGAGTTTGAGGATGCATGGAGAAGTCTCATAACATAATATAATGTTGAAGAAAATTCATGGATTACTTCACTTTATTCCATAAAGGAGAAATGGGCATCATGTTATCTCAAGGATGTGTTCACCCTTGGAATGCGAAGTACTCAATTAAGTGAAAGTCTAAACTCTAATTTTAAGGCATGTATGAAACCTGGTATTGGCATCAAACAATTCTTTGCTCACTTTGAACGAGTTGTTGAAGACAAGCGTTACAATGAGCTGAAACATGAGTATGACTCTCGCCATAAGCTACCCATGTTGCGGTATGAGGTTTCACCAATCTTAATACAAATGGCCAAGGTTTACACACATACAATATTTAACTTATTCCAACACCAGTTTGCTCAATTCTTAGCTTGTAGCATATCACAAAGGATTGAAACTCCTTCTTTGATTGAATATGTGATTACTAAAGTCCATCAACAAAGATCATGGACAGTTACATTTGAACCTTCCTCAAGCACTATATATTGCTCTTGTAAGAAGTTTGAAATATTTGGCATACTTTGTTGTCATGCATTGAAAGTGTTTGAAACCAATGATGTGAAAATTATCCTTGATAAATACATACTGAAGAGATGGACAACACATGGTCGTAGTGGGATTATTCATAATGTCAAAGGAACAGAGGTAGAAGGAGATCCTAAACTTAGTACCACACGTCAATACCGTCACCTAGCAAGTAAAATGATTAGGTTGGCCTGTGATGTTTCTACTTCAGAAGAATATTGTCAGCTAGTTGATGACAATATTAACAACTTAATTAGCAAAATCACAAAGCTTCGATTGCAAACAAACAGTCTTACGGATAAAGATAAAGATGATGCACAAATGTTGGCCAATAATAATGGTACACAACCTAAGGGATTCAAGCTTCGACCAAGCACTAAGAGGAAAGGGAATAAACGTTTCAAAAGTTGGGTTAAGCTACAAGCAAATAGAAAGAAGAGCAGAACTCCAATTTTAGATCAATCAGCATCTCAGGTTCTTTTATATAATGATTTTGGATACCAAATATATACAATTCAGTTAACTTCATATTATAACCATATAATATAATAATATGGGTGTTAATATGTTATAGGAATATCAACCAATAGTTTGTGATCCAGTTGAAGTACATTGTTCAGCACCTCCAACTTATGATCCCCCTCACACATTACTTAAGTTTCACAAATTTGTTGAGAGTAATTTTCAGCTCAACTTTACATTGTCTAATCATTGATGCTGGTTCCTAATATCTCTTCTTATCTTGTAGGGACCACTTCATAATATCAATGATTCTGGCCTGGAAGGTATTTGATTCTGTTGTTCTGGAATGGAATGGAATGGAATGGCTCTGGTTTCTTTTGTTTTTGAATTGCCTATGTAGTAATGAATCCTTTTTGTGTATATTTCATTATGAACAATTGTGGACCATTAATGGAATGGACTCTTTATCCATATTATTTTTTTGCCACAATTAACTATTTCTGGATGATTGAATTTGACTTTGATAAGCAATTTTGTAAAATTTTGACGTGCTGTCAGTTTTTGCATAATCTTTCCAATTTCTGCATAATTCGCTTAAGCCCTCAAATTCGCTTAAGCGATTATAAATTCGCTCCAATCTCGCAAAAACCGCTTAAGCTATATATCCATTCGCTTAAGCTAATCCAAATTAGCTTAAGCGATTTATGGGTCTGTGTATCAGTGCTCTCTGTCCCAAATTCGCTTCATTTTAAATAAATTTGCTTGCATCCGCTTAAGCCAATGACGTCTTCGCTTAAGCGAATACATAATAGCTTAAGTGAGTACCTATCCTGAAATACATGACTCTCTATTCCAAATTCGCTTAATATAAAACAATATTCGCTTGAGCAAAATGGAGCGATTCCATATTCGCTTATACGGTTATTTTTCGCTTAAGCGGATATTCTCAATCTCTCGCTTGGCCTCGCTTTAAAGCCAGAATTCCATAAATGAGTCGCTTAAGCTAAAAACTTTGGCTTAAGCGAAAATTCACTCCAAATTCGCTTAAGCCGTTTCAAATTCGCTTAAGCGAATTTGGACATGACGCTCATGTTCGCGCCAGAACATGAGAGGATCTGGATCCTGTTAATGTGTGTCTTGTGCGGATTGTTATATGCTTCTTAAATAATAATAAAAATATATATTTGTATGATTTTTTTTATAAAAATAGGTGATATGGTAAAAAGAGAAAATAATTATTTAAAAAAATTATTGTAGTAATAATATCACTCTTAATGACAATATTTATTCTTTTTATTTTCATTTAAATGAGTCATTTAAAAACTGTTATTTTATCAAATGAGATCAAGTGATACACGATTAGTTCTTTTATTTAAGGTAAAGATATCTATAGTCTAGACTATTTTTGTAGTGGAAAAAAGAAAAAACTAATTACAGAAAAAGAAGTAATTCATTTGTAGTTTAATCTAATTTTTTATTTATCTTTAAAATTTTGATAATAATATTCAGAATCATTTTTATTAACTTCATAAAAATAATAAATAATAATTTATAAAATAATTAATAAGGGAGAAAAATGCAATATTATCAAGTTATAAATAGTTTAAATATATAGAAAATTATTTCTTTTCTTAATTTATTTATCATAAAATGAAATGATAGATAAAAAATGGAAAATGTATAATTTTTATTGTTTTAAAATTTAAATGTATCCATTTAAATCCATATTTTTAGTTATACTAAATATTTGTGTCAAATAAAATATTAATAAATGAATCAATTAATAAAATAATTTTATATTTTTCAGATAATATTATAATCATAGATATTTTTCAAAGTAAATAATTAATTGATTGCATTATTTAATTAAATTATTAAATTTAGACACAGCTTTTAAATTATTGCATACAAGTACTAGAACAAATATACTCAAGTTATTGCATACGTGCATGTATCAATAACTAAAATGTAAAAGTTACAAAATTCAAGCAAACTATTGCATGTATGCTTTAAGTAGCAAATAGTTTAAGAAACGGTAATGCAAAGAAATAACAGTAATGGGCTTGCTTTGAGGGTATTTTTAGGCCCACGGGCTCAATGAACACTCCTCTGGAACAGTTGAATACCGCTGAGAATCCTTGCAGTAGTCATAGATGACAAGGTTCCTCTGAACCCAAGCATAATCCATTTTCTGATCATCTGAGAGGTGCCAAGCAGCATATTGATCCCACCAATTTTTGGTTGTGGTTGAAACACATTCAGGATATGGGTCTTCCCATTGGCAAGCATCCACACTGAAGTCCTTATAGGATGACACAAACGGACCTAATTTCCAATTTGTCTTCTCGAGCCCACCCCTTGTGGCCCAGTCGTCCGCATTCCAAATGCTCGAGAACAGGTACATGGGCTTATCATTGGGGAAGAAATTGTTCGGTTTTCCATTGTTTCTTAACACCCTTATAGGAACCCTGTCCACACAAAACCTGTTTGCAACTTTCAGTAGAATTTGTTTGGAAGTTTGGAAAGAGAAGGAGAAAAAAAGAAAAATGTTAATTTTTTTTATTTAGATGTTTAATATTTTATTTACTCATAATTAAGCAAGTTATAAACAAAATTAAACTCTTTCTAATCACTTTTCTCCCCTCCACTTCTCTTCTAAATCTAACTCCCAAATATAACTTTAACTAATTCAATTGACAATTCTCAGTAAGTACTAGTAAATAAATATTTATCACTTTTTTCTTAGAATAATAAGAAAGCCTCCAAAAATAAAATTTTGAAGTACTAGTTGAACATTCATTTGACACCTCATATCTCTTTCTCTCTCTTTTTAATAAATATATTAATGGTATTTTTATCTCTAATTATCATGTTTATTTAATTTTAGTCTCTTAATTTTTACTTGTACAACTTTAATCCTATTATTTTCTTAATTAAACAAATTCATTACTTTTTAAATTATCAGCCAATTTTTAATGGAAAATATATGATTTTTTTCCTTTCTCTTTACACTTTAGTTCCTCAAAGTATTGTATTTGTTTTATTTTAGTCTTTTAATATTTAATTGGACAATTTTAGTCTTTCTATTTTCTTAATTTAGCAAAGTTAGTTCTTCAACTTTTATGTTTCTTCTTCCTCCTGCCCCTAGTGAGACTTCATCATTGCCTACAAAACTCTATCATTGCTGCCACTACACCTCTTCTTCCATTACTTTTCAACCTCCCTCACACTCCTCTTCTTTGCAATTGTTTTTGATCCTTCTACATTATATTCACTTGTTCCTCCTCTTCCTCTTTCTTTCAAAGATGAAAACTTTGAACATAGATGTTAACCATTTCTTTAGGTTTGAGGGATGAATATGCTTGTATAAGCTTGTAAGAGAAATTTAGCTTGTTTAAGGGAAGGGAAGAGTATTAATAGAATTCTCTCCTTAGCATCATTCACCCTTCCTACCAATAGTTTGGGGATGCAGTAGATGAGGTGTTAGCATTGGTGCCTCCTAGCCCGAGTCCATTTCTCCCATAATCCTCCTTTCTTGTGGAATGTAAAAATAAAGAGAAAATAAAGGGTCAAAAAGTCTAAAATATAAGACAAATTAAGTCACTGCATGGTAGAGCTAAAATAGGCGTATGCCATGAAAGATTACAAAATGTAAAATTTGAAGAAGACATGGGAGAGCTCTAGTAAGGAAGAAAAGAGGAAGAAAAAAATCGTATCACAATAACAAAGTCAAAGTGGAGAGAAAGGAGAAAAGAGAAAGAACTCTATTGCTGACGACAAAGTTTAGTAAGGGAAAGAGAATGAAGAAGAGTTTTGTCTGAACGGTGATGGACTCAAGAGAGAGAAGAAAATAAAAAGACTGTATAGTTTCCATTAAAATTTGGTTGGTAACTTAACGAAAAGACAAATTTGCTAAATTAAGAAAATAAGAAAACTAAAAATGTACAAACAAAATAGTTAGGGGCCAAAATGCAATTTAGCCTAATAAATATCATTTCTCGTATCATATTTATTGTTTTTTTTTAATTTCTTTTACATCATTTATCACACCTATTTTTCTCTCTTTTCTGTACACCTCTGCAAAATATTTTCCTTGTACCAATATAATTGAAGTTGGCCCACCAGCCCTAGCATAATATTGGTTTCTTCTATCTCAGGCTCAGCAACATGCCATTCATTTACTTTTTTTTGACAATTAAGAAAGCGTTAAAGTGACAACAGTGTGAAGAGTGGTAACAATTAAGTTCATGGACCATATGTGTAAGGGATTTCATGATCTTTTACACTTTTTCTTCTTGAGACTTGGCTAATAAGCTAAAGGGTGAGAGAAGAAGAACTTACAATATGTGGTGATTGTTCCAGAGAATGGAATAGGTGTGAAAGTCCTCAGTGGGATCGAACCATAGCATGTGCCTCATTTCACGCCCACCAGTCCCATTCTTGTACACATTGGTCTGAATCAAATATGGCTCCCCTGTTCTGTTTCCCAAGAACTCAAAATCAAGCTCGTCTCTTTCTGGCCCTGCTCCATTTTCCGTGCACATCTGCGACAAAGAGATTATAGAGAGAAACTCATCAAAGAGGCACATTTATGCATGCATGCATGCTTATTATATAGTACTTGATACATGCATGCATATACACTTACATAATAAGCTGTGACGACACCAGCTGAGTCACCTCCTACCAACTTCAGTTTCATACTGAACCACCCGAATCTGTAGCGTTGCTTTGTTTGAAACCCACATCCTATCAAAGAGTGAATGATATGATTTAGAAACTAATGGTATCAAATTGAATTATAACAATTTAATTAGTTTAAAATAAGAATATACAAATATAGATAGATTAATACATATCCAACAAAATAGACACAATCAAATGGCAATCATTTAGCACCTGTGTTGTTGTCCAAGGAGAGATACCAAATCTGTCCATCTTTGGAGGTAGAAAAATGGTCATGAGACCACATTATGCTGAAGTTATCTTCAAAAGATCCCTTGGAATTGGATATTGCTGCTTCATGTGAATGACTAGAAGCAGCCAAGATAGCTGCTAGCAGAAGAATCACAAGCGATGAAGACGATCTTGCATCCATTAAGTGTGATCAGAATTTGAACATGTTCTTGGCATTTGTAGTTGTAACATCGTACGCTGCCATTCTTTTCTTTTTAGACCGAAGCTGCAATTTACTTGTTTATTAATTATTCTGCTTGCTCCGAATGTATAAAATTGCCAACATCTATGCATTGCCCCACCCCAAATGTTCTTTTTCTATTCGCTCCAAGTCTTGTAAACATAACATAATACTTTCATTTCTTTTTGTTTATTCACTTTCTTAAAAAAATATTAATTTAATAATTTCAAATTATAAATATTTTTTTTTTTAAATATTGTATACATTTATAATAAACAAAAGCAAACTAGCAATAAAGATTGTATTAAAATCTGATAGATAAAAGTGAGACAATTTTTATTATTTATTTAAATTTAGAAGAAAATTTTCAAGACGACAATATATATTATTAAATATATTTAAAAAATGAAACTGTAATCAGATGCATTTGTTTGTTTGAGAACATGACCGATTATCTATAGACACCTCTTTATATAGAACTTCCTTAATTTGATTTTTTGGGCGAGTAGATAATCATAGGGTGATAGGGAAATTATCATATTTTCTTTTCATTAAATGTTTGTATAGTTGGGAATAAGATTTGAAAATATGCTTGTTGTTTGAAAATATAATGTTTTCTAAAACTAATATTTATTTTTGTAATTTTTAAATTTTACTGAAATAGATGTGCATTTATGATAAAATAAATTGAATGTTTAGATGTGTTAAATGAGAAGTAATTTTAAGACATTTTCTATTAAGTTTAGACTATACAAAATAATCACTTCTTCTATAGTGAAATTATAAAAATAAAGTTACGTGTAATAGTTAGTTTGTATTTAAAATAAGTAATTTTGAAGGATACAATAGAAAAAAAATTAAAATAAATTGGCAGCTATTAATTATAAGGTCTAAATATTTATTTATCCAAAAAAGATATTTCTTTAATAAAAGAAATAATTAAAGATTTTTAGCTGATTTTTTAAAATTTACTGCCCGAAAATAAATGGTACTTTTTTAAAACATTATTCACATAATACACAAAAGTACTCTTATACAAATATGCATTAAATATTTGTTAAATATAAAGAGAAAAAATTATTAGAAAATAAGATTAAAAATCAATTTAAACCTTGTGAGTAATTTTTTGTGTTACACAAACGCAAATTATAGTAATTATTAGAAACACTATCTCTGAATTAGAGGATCGACTTAATAATAATAACCCTAACTTATATAATTGGGAGTATACCCGCTACTACGTTATTATAAAAACCTTACCAAAATATTATATAAAACTCTCGCAATCACAATTTGGCAGGAAAGCAAAAAGCTGAAATCAAACTGTATCAAAGCATTTTATTTTTTTTCTTCTAATGCATTTTTATATCTAGAGGTTTGTATCACCCTTTACGATATTTAACCTTTGTTTAACAAGTTGCTTTAGCAATTAGTCAAAAAGTAAAAGAGTGATTGAATCTTTGAACGCTATGTGTTGTTTTCTATATTATTTGCTTAACAAAATGTAATTAATTAATCCCTCAAACAACGGTTATTACGGGAAAGCAGCAAAGCTTGTTTTTGTTAGTGATGAAGACGATGATGAATGAAAATAAAGATGACCAACATGCCTATGCACCCAGCCCAATAAAAATGGATAAGATGCTTCGGGGAATCAACCACACGATGCATGTGATAGCATGCTAAAGTACTATTTAAATACGACAAATATTAAATAGTGGGATATAATTAAAGAATTAAAAAATATTCAAAATATAATTACGAAAATGATACAAATTCTTTTGTAAGAAAAAATTGACAAATAAATAATTACTTTCATTTTGGATACAAGCAATGATCGTAATTGGTTATTTTTCGTTTTTGTTAAAAATTAATCGTATGTCGTACGCAATAAAAATAATATCATTAATGTATATTAATGATCTAATTTTTGATACATTATTGATAATTTTTTAAAAAGTTGATTAATATCTTTTACACTAATTAATAAGACCTTAAAATAATATTACAACACTTATTAATGATAGCTTTTTTTTAAAATTGTTATTCATTTGAATTTTGCTTTTCAATTTGAATAAATATTTTTTTTAATAATTTAGCATGTATTCCCTTTTTATAAACGAGAAATCCTAATGTGCATAAAAAACACTAATAATTTTATTAGGCTTTTACATATTATAATATGATTTGTTCCCAGACATAAGTTTATTCAATTGGGAATATAATACTCAAATATTGGGGGGTGGGGATGAGTAGATTGATTAAGATTAAAAAAAAGTTATTATATGTTTTTTTTATATATATATTTTAAATACCTAATTTTATTCGTAATATAAAAATATAAATATAACTAAATAATGTATTCTTTTGGTATTTTTTAATATATTTTCAAAAGTAAAGTTATGGTTAACTTTTTATTTCCATTTTTTTCACTCATGACCTTTCGTGCTTTACTTATGGTTTTAATTATATTTTTTTGGGCTTCAAAACGGATGATAGTAACACGTTTGAGGGCCCAAACATACGTTCTGCGATGAAGCCCGTGTTTTAACATGTTATCTTGGCCCAAAAGAAAGCGTTCATGTTAAGTATCTAACCCCTACTATACTCATTTTCTTAACCAAAAAATATACTTTGTTTCCTCTAGACCAAAAAATGAAAAACTGTTTCCTTTTCCTCTCGTCTTATCAAGAGTATCTTTCTTTAGATTGGCGTATTATATGATCATTTCAGTTTTCTGTACTTGCCCTTAAGTAGAGATAAAAATAGGCTTAGATTGTCTAACAACAATTTACAGTTAAACTTATTTAAAATCTAATTTGATCTAATTTATTTAATTAATAAGTTTAATTTAAATTTTTTAAAAAATTTAATTAATTAAATAGACTAAACTTGAGTTTAAGAAAAAGTCTATTAGACTTATTAAAATAGTTTATTTAAAATTTATAAAATTATAATAATATATTAAATAATTTTATATAAAAATTATAATATAATAATATATTAAGTCAATTAAATTTTAAAATAATAAAATTTTAAATTAAAAATCTTAATTTTTTTCGTTAGAGTTGAAGAATGTCTCTATTACATATTTTATAAGAGAGAGAACTCTATTTACTGTAATTTTTTTATATATCTTATACGCATAACACTGATTTATATTACGTTATCTTGATTACATCTATCACTAGTTCATCTCATTTTATCCATATCTTCTTGTAATCTTATGTACTTGTTTATATTACATTATTTTTTTAATAATTTATTTAGATATAAATCTTATGATTTTTAAAATATATATATATTTAAATAGTTTAATAGTTTATTTATAAGAAAATTTAATGACCTATTGAATGTTTTGATATGAAATATGCTATTAAAAGGGCTAATAGGTCAAATCAGGCTTTTAAAAAGGACAGACTAAGCTTAATAAAAAGCCTATAACATATAATAGGCTAATCTTTAGCTTCAAAATTATTAGACAGGTTAGACCTATTTATACAAAGTCTAACATATTTTCATCCCTATCCTTACTGGCCTTTTGCCTATCCTCACGTGCCTGTTTTACTTGTATTTTCTCTTGTTTACTACAAAGTTTAGCTATTTTTGTTTCGAGTCTTGTTGTCCTTATTTCTTGTGTGCTAACGACCAAATAGGCATCCCACCCCAGTTAATGCCATACACCAAGTAATTCTCTAACAAATGTTAGAATAAGGAGAAATGATAAGGTCGTATTTTTATCAACAAGTAAAATATATTTTTTGAATGAGAAAAAAAAAACACTAAATACTAAAATTAATGGTATGTTTGATTAGGGTTTTAAAAATTATTTTTTGTTTTTAAAAATAAATTTTAATATAAATTTATACTATAATTTATTTTAAAAATATAAAACTATTTTTAGAAGAGTAATCAAATATGCTATAAGTTTGAAATTTTACATTATTTTTATATTGAAATGTAGATCTTGGATATCTTAAAATAAAAGCAAATAAATTGCTCTTCAAATTAATATATACGACAAGGACCACACCAATTTTGATAATTAATGTCAAGCTGATGAGCCAGCCTTTTATTGTATTTAATTTTGCTATATTATGATGATTAAAGGGGTAAAGTTAGGGACAGTGAACAAGTGGATAAATTAAGTGCAATTAAATAAAGCCGTCTGTACAACTTTCTGTTTATTATATATATATATATATATATATATATATATATATATATATATATATTTTTTTTTTCTAGTTATGACTCATGCAAATATAGAAAAACAAAATATACATACACGTGACTCCATATGCCATACTTTTCTTTAAACAAATATTAGGTATGTCAATAGAAAAGATAGAGTTAAAGGAAGATGGAGATAATTATATACATGTTTAAATAATAAAAGTGGAGTATTGTTGGTCTATATAAGGACAATTAAAAAAACACACATCGCCACAAGCAGCCAGTAACGTTGAGAAGTATGGCTACCCAGCAATCTTTGTTAGACAATAAGCCTAGAAAATCCCTTTCCAAAAACATTTGGTTAATCACCTCTGTCTTTGTTGTCATAAGCTCATCAGCCCTTATTGCTTCTTACTTCATCAATCCCACCTCTTTCTTCAACCCCTCTTCACCTCACCATGTCTGTGATCATGCACTTGATACTTCATCTTGCTTAGCGCATGTCTCTGAAGTAGCTCAAGGTTCTTTCTTGAGTACCCCAACAAAAGACCACAAATACAATTTGCTTCACTCCTTCCTAATGAAGTCCAATTCACACATTCAGAATGCTATGGACACAGCTAAAGCTATCAAACAAAGGATCAACAATCAGAGAGAGGAAGCAGGTTTGGGGGACTGCGAGGAGCTGATGGAGTTGTCGGTGGAACGAGTTTGGGACTCAATAGTGGCTCTAACAAAAGACAGCACTGTTTCTCAGCAAGATGCACACACGTGGCTAAGCAGTGTCCTCACTAACCATGCAACTTGCTTGGATGGGTTAGAGGGCCCAGCTAAGGCCCTTATGGAGGCTGAACTTCAGGAGTTGATGTCAAGAGCAAGAACTTCTCTGGCGATTCTTGTTGCTGTTTTGCCAAAGGGCCAACAACTAATTGAAGAGTCACTAAATGGGGACTTTCCTTCATGGGTTACCAGAAAAGATAGGAGGCTTTTGGAGTCTACGGTTGGGGATATTCAGGCTAATGTTGTGGTTGCTACGGATGGGAGTGGCAAGTTCAAGACTGTGGCAGAGGCCGTGGCTTCCGCACCCGACAACGGTAAGACGAGGTATGTTATTTACGTGAAAAAGGGAACGTACAAAGAGAACGTTCAAATTGGTCCGAAGAAGACGAACGTGATGCTCGTGGGTGATGGTATGGATGCAACTGTAATCACCGGCAGCTTGAATTTTGACGATGGAACAAGCACCTTCAACTCTGCCACCGTTGGTATGAACCTTCCCCGACTTAGTCACTATTTGAATCTTCCATTTATCCTTTTGTCTGTTAGTGCTTTTTTAGGTAACCTAACCATAATTCTATCTATACATCATTTTCGTTCATACTTATAAAAGTTTAGTTACATTCTTGTCTTTCTTGATCACACGAATTACGCCGGACAGGCTACAGCTGTAGCATTTTTAATTGTATACAAATCGACACTTAAATTGAAAAATATATTTTGACCCTTAAGATCTGGTTTTGTAGCTGCCGTGGGCGATGGATTCATAGCCCAAGACATTTGGATCCAGAACACAGCGGGCCCACAGAAGCACCAAGCAGTGGCTCTTCGTGTGGGTGCTGACCAGTCCGTCATAAACCGTTGCCGCGTCGACGCTTATCAAGACACTCTCTATGCCCATTCCAACAGGCAATTCTACCGTGATTCCTTCATAACTGGCACCGTTGACTTCATATTTGGAAACGCAGCCGTTGTTTTCCAAAAGTGCAACCTGGTAGCCCGAAAGCCCATGAGTAATCAAAACAACATGGTTACAGCCCAAGGACGAGAAGACCCAAACCAAAACACTGGAACTTCAATTCAGCAATGTAACCTAACACCAAGCTCGGATCTTAAGCCTGTGGTGGGGTCCATCAAAACCTTTCTGGGCCGCCCATGGAAGAAGTTTTCAAGAACAGTTGTGATGCAGTCGTCACTGGACAGCCATATTGACCCAACAGGATGGGCCGAATGGGATGCCCAAAGTAAGGACTTCTTGCAAACGTTGTATTATGGAGAGTATATGAACAGCGGGCCAGGTGCTGGCACCGCCAAGAGAGTGAAGTGGCCTGGTTACCATATCATCACAAGTGCAACGGAGGCCAGCAAGTTTACAGTAACACAGCTCATCCAAGGTAACGTTTGGTTGAAGAACACTGGTGTGAACTTCATCGAAGGCCTTTAAATATGACTTCGGAGATTCGGAAAGCAAGTGTGTGCTTGTATGCGCTGCGTGGTAGAGTCAGGTTTCGTAGATTCTCTTCGTCCCAAGTTTCTAACTATAGCCTTGTAGCCTGTGGGGCCAGTGTAATGATGCGATGTATTCTTATGTAAAATAAACTTCGCTGCTGGTGCTTCTTTGATTTCCTTTAAATGTTTTAGTGGGTTAATTTGATACACCTTTTTCGTTGGCAAATAAGTTGATGCACCTTGCCCATAGTTTATGCATGTTGCTAGCTAGCTAGCTTAAAATAGCCAACCCAACAAAAATCGGGTGTAGTATTTTTCTGCCTTACTATGAAGAATCAATAAATTAAGGGAATATTGAATAAAAAACAAAACGCTAAATTTCGTCCATTGTAAATTGACTTGTAGTTCTCTTTTATCGTTATGATTTTGATTTTTTTAAATCCTCACTCACAACATGACGATGTTATTTTCTGAAACGAGGAAGATGTTTAGTGTTTGTGGGCAAGTGTATCCATCAAAAAGTAATAAAGAAGTTTGAAAAGAATTTTCAAGTTATCGTCTCACAAAGATTATTTTTAAGTATAAAAAATAATTTGATTTGATTGTTTAAACGTAACAGAATTATAATAGAAAAAAAATAGATCTTAATATTAATAATAAATTAAAAGAACAGTAATATAATGTATAATAGAGATCAGATAAGGTGAGCTTAAGACTTATGAATTCACCTATTACACTTCTTTATGTTCTAATTAATTTAATCCTGATATTGATATCTAAATATTTACCAACCACTCATAATTAGTTTTACTAACACTCAATAATTATGCAATGTCAACATTCTTTTCCCTAAGCAAATACTCCCAATGATCATGCAAGGTAATTGGTCGAGAAAGTACGAAAACTCTATGAGTTTGTTAATTTAATAACGCTTGAAAGAAAGGAATTAAGTGTGATTAACATAGTTCCTACTCTCATTTTATCTTATAGTTCTGTTAATTACACGTGGTATGATCGCCTATAATGCAACTAACTATGGGATGCTAAGGGTGATCAAATCTTAACATATATAATATAATCCAATAGAATAAAAATAAAAAACATTAAACAAAAATCAATACCAACATTAAAGTAAAAATCACACAAAGTTTGTAGTAAGATCCACCATAACCTTAGCTATGAGTTTTGTTACTCAAAATAAAATAAACTACGAAGAACGTGATAAATAAACCCATAGCCACAAAGAAAAACTTAAATAAAAGAAACCTAGAAAGGTAAAAGATGAAGAGAGTTCTTGTTTTCCAAAGAGTACTCAATCACTTGCTTGGACTCCAAGGAGAAGCTCGTTGTCCTTGCCAATAGTCTTCAATGACTCTCAAAGATGAGTTTGGTTAGAACTAAGAAGGGAAAGAAGGTATGTAGAGAAGTCGAAGTGTCTCCAGTGTGGAGCATAAAGCCTCTTGATATAGGTTATGCCCTGAATTTCTAGTCGGTTGAGCTCTATATTTTCAAATCAGTTTTATCCACAATCAAAATCGCTCCAAATCTTCATATCTAAGTTTAAATTTTAAATTTTAAATTCAAAATTCAAACTCAACTTCACATAGTACTACCAAGTGTAATGCCCTAAATTTTGTAATATTGTGTAATTATTAATATATGTGGATTGCCATATGTGGTGTGTCAATTTACATGATGATGATGTGGATGTGTGTATGTGACCTTGTTATGATGCTAATACGTGTGTGGAAATATATATATGTTGGTTTGTGGTTGAAAATGGAACTGTTGAAATAGGCTGTGTATTGGTGCAGGGTGTTCTCGCTGCAGTGAGAATATCTCGCTGTAGTGAGAGGATCCTAGGAGAAAGGCGTAAAACTGTCGTCTTCTTACTGTAGCGAGAGGTCCCTCGCTGTAGCGAGAGAGTGGCAGTGAGGGGTGCAGTCTTGCTGTAGCAAGAGGGTCTCGCTATAGCGAGATTCTGTAGAAACCAGAGTGCAGTTTCCTCTAAGATTTTCGCTATAGCGAGAGAGGGTGTCGTTGCAGCGAGGTCTTTTTGCTGCAGTGAAAATATCTCGTTGTAGCGAGCGTGTCATGACCAGAGGGGTATTTGAGGGGTTTAGAGTTTAGAAAATCATTTTCCCACTCCTCTCTTCGAACCCTCTCTCATTTCTCTCAATTCCCAAGCCATTCATACCGATGAAATCACCTCCAAAGCTGTTTGGGAGTAAGATTGAAGGTTGAAAACGAGTTTGGGGGCGTTTGGAGGTAAGTTTGTGAGATAGGGTTTTTGGGTTTTATCCTCTTTTCTTTAATCTCATGGTTTCTCATGGAATTTTTTCCTATATTTAGGACGAAATCCGTTTGGAGAGCACGTTTATTGTTGAATTACTTCGTGGGTCTTCATTAGAGGTAAGGGGAGTTAATCCCAAACCCTAAATTATCTTGGGTACTTTGAATTTGATGAAAAACCCCTAATTACTTTTATACTATCCAAATATAACTTGTAATAAAGGCTCTAAATAAAGCTGTCTTTGAGGAACACTATGATTTTACTAAGAAAACATTGTTAGGAGTAGATGAGGTATGCTAATTGGTGTTTCTGGAATAATGGGTTATACTAAAGCTTAGGATAGACGACCTTATTACTATTACTGAGACAGTGTGAGTGATAAATTATACGATTGAGCTGAGTTCGGGGGTGTTCGACCTTCGACATATTGTATTGATTATGTGATGGGTGAAATAATTAGTGATTTCAGTGATTGGATGAATGTCGTTGATGATTGAGGCATGTTGAAATTGATTGATGATATATTTATGCTGTTTGATAATTGAGGTATGTCAAATGAGTGAAACCATAATATCAATATGAGTGTTTGTCTATTCCTAAATAAAGAAAATGTTTTCTGTGTGATGTGTGATGCAATCACAGTGCCACAGTGAGCGCACGTGTAAATGAATTGAATGAAATGCTGGACAAGTGATCATAATACGAGAGTCAGACTGGACGAATGGATATGATTGTATTGATATGATTGCAATACAGGTATTGTGGTACGACCAATGGGGGTACTCACAATAAATGTATTGTAATACACCAAGCTATATGGGTAAGACTCGCGTAATATGACACGTGCCCTATAAAAAGGGTGTGGAAAAGACTGAGAAATGTTAGTGGTAAGTTTAGATAGCTTAGATATACACTGGGGGTATAGAGTCCGGAGAAGATTTGAGAAATCTTGAAAAATGAGGCTAGTGAATGCTCAATGTAAACGAGTGCATATTGATTTGCTAAAAATGAAAGCATTCAGAGGCCACACACTTATTTCGTAACGAGACTTTTGACTATATCTTTGCTAAAAGGAGCTGGAGAGGCACATATGTATCTGTGATGCTGCGGCTATCTAAGCTGTGAAGTTCTCAAGGGATCCCAGGGGCATTGAATATGAAATGGAAATAAATGTGGAAGTGTAATGTGTATGAAGTGGTATGCAAATTGTACAGTAGTAATATGTGCATTGTAACATTTCGGTTGATGTTGTTATGATATATGTGTTGTAATACATCCACAGGTGCGATTGGGACACATGTGTTGTGACACATCGATTGACATGGTATAATACATGTATTATGGCATGCAGATTAGTAAAAAAATGCATGATCTGAAGTGGTGAACATGATTGATTGTTTGTCTTATGTGCTTCTTTATGATGGCAAATTGGGTGATTTGAGTGTCCTTACTGATACAAATCCATATTAAATAATACTTCTAGCATTATATATATATATAAACATGTAATTATCTTACTTATGTTAGACCAGAGATTTAGTGAGGTGAGAAATACTCATCCTCACTAATGTTTTCAGGTAATAAAAGTGAAGAGATAAAGATGTTTGATCCGTCCTAGGATCATAGCCTAAGTGTATTGAAAGGAAGGATACTCTGTAGGGATTAAGTTTAAGAAATTGTATCTCGTGATGACTAAATTTTGTAAGTGATTTTAAATGTCAAATTTTGGAATATATGATACTTGGGCCAATTTCGTTGTAATGCATATTCTGAAAATGTCCTTAGTAGAAGTATTCGAAATAAACTAAATGCTTTGTTTAAAGTGAAGTTAAATTTTATTCAATTACTTCAAGTTTTGAAGTTTTACCCTTGAAATAATGTGAATTTTTTCATAAAAAGAAAATACAAGTTTTGTCCTTATGTTATTATTGAGTTTGTGAATGGAAATAAATTCATCATTTTTTTATTTGCCATGACAATTTATTTATTTGAATAAAGAAAATAAGGATGTTATACCAAAGACTAAAAATATCTAATTTTTATCCAGAATATCTCCATAATGCACTAATAACAACTTCCAGCTAAATTGTGTCAAATCGGTGTAATTAAATATGTATTTAGTATTCCATTTGAAATTGTAAATTTGTATGCTTAAAGTTTATGAAGTATTGGATGTTGGAATGTGTAATGCCCCTAATTTTGTAATATTAATTATTGTTATATATATATGAGTGTGTATTTTTAGATATATATTGTGGATGTGTGTATATATATGTGTATGCATGACTGGATAGGCTGAAAATAGGCTAAATGCCTAAGTGCAGGGTGTAATATTGGACGGTTCCGGTGTAGCGAGAGGGCCCTGGGAGGAAGGACTGAAATTGTCACCTTCTCGCTGTAGCGAGAGAGCGACAGTTTGGGGTGCATTTCTGGATGCAGTCTTGCTGTAGCGAGAGGGTCTCGCTGTAGCAAGATTCTGCAGAAACTAGAGTACATTTTTCTCTGAGTTTTTCGCTATAGCGAGAGGACGTGTCGCTGTAGCGAGGTCCTCTCGCTGTAGCGAGAATATCTTGCTGTAGCGAGAGTGTCACGACCAGAAAAAGATTTAAAGGGGGTTAGGGTTCGGGGGGTTATTTCTCCCTCTCCCTTCAATCCTCTCATTCCCAGACCCTTTTTCACCAATTAAATTGCCTCCAAAGCCG